AGTATTCTAACAGGTGATAGAAATTTTGATTGTGTTTCTCTGATGATTAGTGATGTTCACCTTTAGTGTTGAGCATAGCTGTCATGTAAAGTGAAATTTCTAACATAAATTTAGAGAACAAATGCTCTAATGAATCCTTAATGGCTGCAGATAATGCAATTCTTCCAAGGAAGGACTCTTTTTTAAAAAAATTACATTTTAAATTGTTAAAGAGGTTGAGCTTGAGTCAGGCAAATCTCTGTTACCTAATTGTATACAGTGTTTTGCCCTCAAATATGTTTAGGGAGTGAAAGTTGGCATGGACTTTCAATGATATTACCATAAAAATATTTAAGGACTAATATGTTTAGTATACTAGGAACTTAGAATGACAGTCAATCATGAGAGATAATAATTTAATAATGAAAGACAATGTACTGATTTTGCAATGATATTCATAGCATTTACTTGTGAATATGCTTTTAATATTTCATAGATTGACTAATGCTTAAATTTAACTTTATCTCTTCCCATTTCATTTTAGTGCTTAGAAATCAAGTACTGTAAGATAATATTTGTTTCTTTCCTCTGTTAACTCAAGTGAAAATTAGACTTTATGGAACTTTGCTATGAGTAAATTATTGGTGATTTATTCCAAAGTTAACTCTGCTATTGTAGATTACGAGGACACTTTCCTTTTGCAGTCAAGGAAGTATTTTAATCAGACTTTTAAGAAATGAGGACATCATTTCATGTGATATTTTCATATATTAATCCAGAGTTAAGATTTTAACTCATTTCTTAGTTTAATTCATGTCTGTGAAATTACTGTTACTGAAATAAATGTTCTTGTCAATTATTCAGATTAATTTACATACACATACTTATTGCAATATAGATAAATGTTATTTAATCACATCTGCTGGCCATGGGACTTGGTTTTGAAAATACCTGATCAAACTTCAAAACCTAAGATAACTTTTGTGTATGCATTACATGCAAACATTCAATAACCATATTTTTGTTCTGTATTTTTATTTGTGTATGTACTGTTCTATATTAAAGTTAGTGTAGTATTCATCTAATTGTACTTAATACCAACACATATCCTTTGATAAAGGACTAAAAAATAAGTAAAAGGAAAAATTTTTAATAGGTTTAGGAAATAAACGGTAAGTGTAGTTCTGATTTTTGGTCTGTAAAATATACTTTCTTTTTTTTTTTTAATGACAACAACCCATTTTTTGTAGGAAGAACAATTTATTTTTAGATGACCAGGAACTCAATTATGGTTATAAATTAGGAATTAGATGGGTTACTGAGTGAATATTAGAATAGATATGCATTCTGGTTTTTATCATTATAATGATGTTAAAAATATGCTGCATATTTCTTCTGGAGACGGGCCAGAAGATTGACTTTTCTAATACTTTAAGCAGTGTGCTAATTTGGTATAGTAACTTTTCCTTTGCTATATGTACATTAAGTATATGCTTCACTTGAGAAAGTATATATGTCGGGTAAATTTTTAAGTATTTAATATGTGAAATTAGAGTCATGGTTTGCATACAGTTTTAACATATATGTTCCACCAAGCACCTGTGTTGTTTGGAAGATATTTTGGTTCAGTTGGTCATATTGAAATTCACTGTGCTTTGACACAAGATACCAAAACATATAAATTTTAAATCATAAAGATCCATGTTTATGCATTGTTAAACAGTCTAATCATAGTGACCTGGGTTTAGGAAAAAATAGTTCTCTTTACAGAACACTTGTGTGTATTAGCTGACAAGTGATTTATTTTACTTTTGCATTGAAATAGATTTGTGCATTGAAAATGCATTGAAATTTGTGGAATGAAAGATCTATGCTAACCAGATTTAATTAGCCTGCTTTTTATATAGGGGCTGGGAGCAAAACTGTTTTAAAATTCCTCACAAAAATAAGCTCAAAATTATAATGCTTCTTTGAACATGGCTAATTATAAAGTTGAACTATTTCAGTAGACACAACCTACTTATATGCTTCCTGATTCTGGAATAATGATAATAGCAAATTAGTTTCTTTAGAATTATATTGAATATTAGAGACAAGATGTTTTTGTATTGATTCCATAAGCAAATACCATGAATTTATCATTTTGAAGTTATGCCAACTAGAAGTCAATATCATTAATCATCTATTAGAAAAATAATCAAGGAAATGGTTTGTATTAATGAAATATTTGATTATGAATATTTTAGGAGAAAGTTTTGTTATGTGCTGCTTATACCATTAATAATAGGAAAATGTAAATTGTGAAGACAAATTAGAGAAATTAAAAGTTCAGTGTCTTTCAAACAGTAATTATATGGTTAGAAGAAACAAATATAATATAAAACAACATATTTAGATTTTAGTATGTAACATGTAATTTTTGTAAGATTTTTAAAACAATATTATTTAATAAGTGACAAAATTAATAAAAATATCACAATATTAAGAGGTATAAATTGTATACTAAAAATTGAACTTTATTTTTTTAAATTTTTTTAATTTATTTTAATTAGTTACACATAACAGTACAATGACCTTGACATATCAGATGGGATATAATTTGAATCAGATGGGATATATTTGAATCAGATGGGATATAATTTCTCATTTTTCTGAGTGTACAGGTTGCAGAATCATATTGGTCATGCAGTCATATATATACACACAGTAATAATAATGTCTATTTTATTCTACTATTCTTCCTATCCCCCCAACCCTCCCCTCCCCTCCCATCACTTCTCTCTACCAATCTAAGGTAACGCTATTCTTTTTTTTTTCTTGTCTCACATTGAACTTTATACATTTACATTTGTTAGCAATATTTAATTGATGTTTACACTATTATATATGGCCAAAATAGGCAAAAAATAAATAAATAGCTGCAAACTCTGTAGCATTCATATTACAGAATAGTGTAAGTTCTAGTGCTGGATACAAATTAGAATCTCCTGGCAAACTGTATAGATACTTGTATGTAGATATACTCATATGTCTGTCCCTCCCTCCTTCCTTCCCTCCCTCCTTTCCTTCCTTCCTTCCTTCCTTCCTTCCTTCCTTCATTCCTTCCTTCCTTCCTTCTAACCAATTTGATGAGACTCTTCATTCAAGGTGATTCCCCTGAAAAGCTCATAGATGATAATAGTATCTGTGCTTTCATAATAAGGTGTGCAAAATAGCATGGCTGAATTTTACCAGAAACATCAGCTTTTGGTTCTTTGCCTATGAAGAACACTTTTTACACAGCAAATATTTGTTTGTATATATTTAGTACAATGTGAATAAAACAGAGCTGAATCACCATATAAGGCATGGGGGCATGATCCCGAGAAGTGTAGTTTTTAAAGCTTAAGAAAAATTATTGAGGGATATGATGAACTATTGTTTGCTTGAAAAAAATAGGGTGATTTTTGTTATTATTTTAGCTTCAAAGACTTCTTAAAGCACCTTTCAATTTCATTAGTATTTTTTTTCTTCAGCGAAATTGAATCACCTTCCCACCAATGTCTCAGTGGTTCAATTACTTTATCACTGTTTAGAAATGAATCAGCATTTAAGATATCATCAGGCCTTTTTACTAAGTATGTGAAATTTTAGGGAGAAACTTGTTCAAATTGCAATAATTACCCTTTGAACAGTAATATTTGTATTCATAGAATTTCAATTTTAACACTGTAGTTTTTTTCAGATGAACTAACGAAAAAGCTACTTTAAGAATAATTGCATTAAGTTTTACAAGCAGCAAATAAATACCAAGGAGAAAAATCTTCCTTTTGCATCTTCCTTACATTCCATTAACTGAAGTGGTCCAGTAAAAGTACTCTCTGATATTAAGCCATGTATACATATTAAGGATGTGAATTTGAGAAAGATACAGATTCCATATGAAATAATTTTTAATAGAATAATTTTTAGTGCAATTTCAAATGCTAACCCCTGCATAGAGTATACTACTATTATTCACATGAATATTGGGTGTAATATTTTAGTATTTAGTATATATAACATTTACCTTCAGCCTTTCTAAGATTTATAAAAGGAAAAGAAAAGCAACTACTAATAAATTGAAGAGTATGGATTTTTTTTTGCCTGTAGATTTTATACACCTAAAAAATGTATTTCCTTTTGCATGGTGTACCTTTCATTGCCTATCATCTATGAAAAATTATTTACTTATGGCCTGTAGAGTCTTGTTAAGTCATATTTCCCCAAGTTAGCTAGCTTTGTATCTCAGTGTCAGCTGACTTACTGGTTTCTTTGGAGATCCATGGAAAGAAAAATTTTATTGAATTAATCTGATACTTAAAATATAAAAGTTCATTTATTCCCCTGATTTCCTAATACATGTTCTCATATAGGTGGCCCACTTTTTTATTGCCTTTTGTTTCATTCAAATATTGAAAACATGGCCTCTTAATTTTTCTCTCAAATGCTTACTTTGTGGTTTTATTAAAATTGGTGGGTACTGTGTCATTTGCATTCTTTTGCAGTTTTTCTTGACATTTAATAATAACTAATAAGCATGTCATATTTTTCAGTATATGAGGAAAGGTAGGGATAAGAGAATTATTTTTTGAAAAATATGTTATAGTTCAGAAGTGTAGAAAGGGAGACAAATTTTAATACTTTCAGTTCAATAAATATAATTTTAAGCATCACCACTAGATGGCAGGATGTGACTTGGAATGGAAAGTTTTGAGTGTTGGAAAAGCACATTAACCCTGTTCTTCCCTGTATGTTTATGTGTCAATGTTACTAGGCTTATTTGGGTGGGGGGAAGGAGTAGCCCTTCTATTTCAGGAGGTATGTTTGTAGAACATATTTATTCCAGTGACTCAAGTCCCAACTTTTCACAACACATGTATCATTCTGGGATGTGTAAACTCAAGATTACAATATTCTTAACACTTTATAGATTGAAGAGGTAATACTTAGCATTCTCCACTTTAACACTATCACACTTTTGTTTTTTACCTGCTGTGCAGGTGACTTGGATTATTACTGGTTGGATCCTGCCACATGGCACAGCCGGGAAACATCACCTATTAGTTCGGTAAGTTTTCTGGTAATTGAGTGTTTGCAATTCAAGGACTATTTATACTTTGTCCATGGTCTCATATATACTGGTGAAAATGAGTCCTGCACCATTATATGTTCTATGATAGCAAATGTTAATTTCATTTGGCATTGCAGTTTTGAAGAAAAAATTAGTTGACACTGAATAATTATAGCAAATTGTAAATTAAGTAAAAAAAAAAATTAAATCATGACTACCACCATACATCTTCCTTTAGCAACAGTACATTATAGAGTATTAGTTGTTTACCCTTGTGATCCTATGGCTGCCTGAGAGCTAAGCTCACTGCTCTTGCTTATCATCTCAACAGAGGACAATATTATATCACTAATCCTAAAAAAAAAAAAAAAAAAAAAAAAAAAAAAATCAAAATTCAAAGTATAGTTTCTACCAAACATGTAGAAACTTTTGCACCATTGTGAAGTTAAATTTATAAGATGAACCATTGTAATGATTTAAGAATGGACACTGTATATGATTAAGGATAGTATCAGCATTAATAACAAAAAACAATTTTCTTCATTTAAGCAGACATATTTTAAAATAAATTAATTGCCTTTAAATTTCGATTAAGAGGTATATTTAGTTGCTAAGTACTTGCAGAATCATTGAGTATAAGTGTCTTTTGTAAATAAAAAGTAAGTCTAAATGAAAAATATTGTAAGCCAAGGATGAAGTCCGTAAGAATAAAGAATTCCCTCTAGGGTATCTTTTAACTGAGGAAATCACACCATGGTAACATGTGTCTATAGAAAAAAAAAAGTTGTTTACTTTTTAAATTCTGCGTTTGACAGCATCCTGTAACGTGGCAGCCATCCAAAGAGGGGGACCGATTAATTGGACGTGTTATTCTTAACAAAAGAACAACCATGCCCAAAGAATCGGGTGCATTACTGGGTCTGAAAGTAAGTATGTTGGTTTAGAATATTTCTTAAAGGGTGAATTACAGTACAGACTGCAATCAGCAAAATTTCTGACAATGATTTTTTTTATTTTTTTATTTTTTTTGTATTGAGAATTGGACTTAGTTTTGCCTCACTAATGAGCTATATCCTCAATCCTTTTAATTTTTATTTTGAGACAAGTTCTCAATAAGTTGCTCAGGGTCTTGCTAAGTTGCTGAGGCTGGCCTCAAACTTGTGATCCCCTTGCCTCAGCCTCCCAAGTAGCTGGGATTACAGGCAAGCATCACTATGCCCAGCATAGCTTGTCTTATGTGTAATAGTTTTCCTAGGTTAGTAGTTTTAATCATTTTTGTTAATATAATACAAATGTATTAAAAATGCAATAGAGCATAGGAAAACTATTTGTCTCTGGTTTTTAAGGATAAATTTTACATTAAAAAGATTTTAATGGAAGGCAGTAAACTTAGATAAAATATGGACCATTATTATATGTTAAGTAGCAATATAAAACTTCAACAAGGAAATTATTTTCTAATAATAGTAATATTTATGATAATACTAAAAGAAGAAAATATATCTTTTAAAAATGTCCTCTATCCATGCATGGATGGTGGAAGGAGACCCTCATCGTTATACAAAATACATGTATGAAGATGTCAATTTGGTGTCAACATATCTTGTATTCAGAAATATGATAAATTGTGGTGTAAAGGTGTATTAAGAATTGTAAGGCAAAAATAATAATAATCATAATAAGAGAGCTCATGTAAAAAATAAAAAATAAATAAAACAATTAAAAAGTCCTCTAACAGATATAAGAATCTGATAGATTACAAAAGATTATTGTTTTCTAGAAAAGTCTATGCACACATTTGCATAGGTATCAATCACACATATGTATTATATGTGTGCTTATGTATATGCATTATATGGTTTTGCTTTTAGTTACTTAAAGAAATAAATATTCAAAAATGTAACTTTAAAACTATTATTTGTCAAGAGGTTGTACATTAGTACAACTGGCAGTGAGCTCAATAATATAGCATTTGCCTGGCATGCATGATCCCCCAACCCTGAAAAACAAGAAAGAAAGTTCATGTACTCAAATGATATTATTAGCATTAATTTCTCTTGCTGTGAAATAATTCTGATCACCACTATTACCTCTATTAATGGGTATGTTCATAAGAACTGTGGATCAACTTCAATCTTTGGTAATACCTACTTTTCTTATTTTCAAAATCTAATTTTAATTCACACTGAACAAACAAGCAGAAAAATGAGAAGGCTGTTTTAGCAGACACAGATGTATCAAGTGTAAAATGGTGGGTTATTAACACAACTAATTGTGTTCTTATTTTCAAGCAACCCTTTTATATACAAGTTTCCATTAGTTGGATAAGGATTTGACATTAAGTAAAAATACTACTTAAATAGGGCTGAGGTAGTACCACTTCATAGTAAAAGTATTAGAAAAGTGATCCTCAAGGTGTATTTGTCACAAAGCAGATGAAAACTTGAATGACAAATATCTAGTAAATTTGCTAGTCAAAAAAAAGTCAGTGCACTTTTAATTGTGTATTTGAGGCCCCTGCGTTGGGAAAAATTAAACCTAGAGTTTCTCACATATATTTTAGATGTAGCAGAAAAGCCACATTAAAGTATTCAGTAGTGATATAGCTCAGACTTTGAAGGTCAGGTTACCTCAAATATCTGTTTCAGATGAGAAGGTCAGCACATGGTCAGATGCATTTAGACTGTACACTTTGCACAGTGGTAAATTACTTCCAAAATGTAGCCTGATCTTGGTACGAATTCCTAGTCTTTATGGTTGTGGGCCTACTATATTAAACCACAGATACACAAAGGAGACTGAAATCTGATTTGACAATGGGGTATTATCTTCACATAGAAATAATGATTCAAGTGGTAAGATTAAGATTTTAAAAAATCCTAAACAATGTTAAACACTTGCTGTTTGATGTAAGTCAGAGAGACATGGCACCTGTCTTCCAAATGCATACATTATTTTGGTGTCTTGTTATTGTTAGGTTAGTGTAAGAAATCAGTAAACAAATTTCCTTAGAATACATGGTCATCACAAATATAATGAAATATCTTCTTTTCAATATTAGTTTCTTTATTTAAAAAGATATTGTACTTCACTAATGTTCTCACACTTAATTGTAAAACATTATAAAATACTTTCTCAAATTAATAAAGTTGTATTTCATATGAATCTTAAGAACTTATAACTTTGTAATCATCCAGGTTGTTGGAGGAAAAATGACTGACTTAGGACGTCTTGGTGCTTTCATCACCAAAGTAAAGAAGGGTAGCCTGGCAGATGTAGTTGGACACCTGAGAGCAGGTAAAGCTTCTTTTTTACATTCAAACATGCTATCAATGCATGGATTGGTAGATTTCAATTTGGGATGATTTATTTACATATTACGTTTACACTACTAATTAATTTTAATGCATATATAAAGCTTTTTTCTAATAGAGACACGAATGTGATTTTCATAAGGAACTATACATAAGTAGCAATCTGTAGAGATTGAGTAGGAATATTTTTATTTATGTAAAACACAGAGATGCAAAATGCTGAAGGATTATTTTTGTAGATGACTTTATAGTATTGTTACCAGACTTCAAGTCTAAAACAGTTTAGCTTTTTAAAACAAATTCCACCTCATTATTTACAGTAATTACTAAAACTTTTCACAGAATCCCCAAACAATTATTTAGGAACAGTGTTTTTCATAAAACATAGACATAGTCACATTTATGATGCATATTACATAATAAAATATTCTTAATTAAAATGAGACATATTGTACTCATGCAAAAGAATCACTATTTAGTATTCAGAAATATGTATTGTTCTGTAACTTTAACATGGCACAATAAAATCATATAATATATTCAAATGTGCTATATATCCAGTAGCAACACTTTTAAAATATATTTTTGGTAAATTATTTTCTGCTTATTTTAGTTAAAATCACATTAACCGTCTTCTTTGACTTCAGTTCAGAGTTGATTATTAACAACCTATAATACATAGAGAACATTTCCAGCCTGTATTTTCTATCTTGATAACTTCAGAAAAATATTCTAGGAGTCTTAAAGACTTCTTGATGTGATTACAGAAATCGGTTCAAAATCATTTCAAGTTTTGTTTTTTCTTTGATAGGGACCTTCTATATTAGGTATTATATAAGGAGAAAATCCAAATTGAGTTTTTTTCCATTTACTATATGACTTTGAAGATGTGTAGCAGTACCGTGTACCATTGTTTCTAATCAAAGACTAGTCATTGATTTAATAAGAAAGTAAGTCAATTAGGGATGACTATCTTAGTAAACTGAATTGTTGTACAAAACTCAAAATATACTCCAAAAAAGTATGAAAATCTGTGGTGGATAATATAACTTTAACTACAGAAAACTGAATTTGTAGATCAGATTATAAGCATAATATCTTTTGATTTTGTACTTGTGTTTTAGTAGATGATTACTTGGAAGAAGTCAATTCAGGAGTTGTTCTGTATAATATACCTCTTAGTGATTAATTTCATTTATTTAACACCCATGGGCTGAGAAGTTAAAAGCTCAATTAAGATAACTATAAAACACATCAGTGTACATTTTACTTACAGCAGTTTATGTATTTGAAGCAACTAAAGCTTTTTAATAGACTTGATCATATAGTCTGACTTACATTTTAATATAGGATTGATTTTTCTTTTGTTTGCATATAAAAATTGCTGGCCTATAAAAAACGAAAACACTATTTTTTTCCATTTATTTCACCTCTGGCATTTGGAATCTTGCTATAATCTTGCCAGAACTTTCTGCAGCCCTGCTCTCCTTCAATTTCATTCATGCACTTCATTGCTATTTGGCCTAACCATCTAAAACATAGAGGCACTGCTTATTAAGATTCTTCATGTCTCTTGGTCATTCTTTGTTCAAGTCAAAGCTTGGTGACTATCTCCTGCTAACACTTTCCACTCCCAGTTATGTCAGTCTTCCTGGCAAGCTGTTATTACCCATATATAAGATGTGATCAGTGCCTCTTGTCTACCTGATTGCTCTATTGCTCTGCTGATGAAGTCTTTTGCATTCTTCAAAACTCATCTCAAGTTGTCATAATTGAAAAGAGTCCTGATACTCACTTGAAGCAATAACTTAATCACTACTTCTCTGGTGCCACCTGTCTCTATCTCTGTTTCTTGAATGTACTGCTATCCTTGCATAAGACAAATTTTATTAAAGTTATTTGCTTACATATTATTTCTCTACCACCAAATACAAAGACAGAGAAAGGGTCAACATTCTGTTTGTACCCTCACTGTCTATATCCCTGCCTGAAAAGATCAGATTATTCATATATAAGTAATGGTAAAAAAGCCACTGGTTTAGGAGTTGTTGATTTATAAGTAAAAACTAATCACATGTATTAATTTAATTTGATATTAAAAGCTGTGCTTCCAGATTGCTGTCTATAAACAGGAGGATTTTATAATACAGTATTTTGTAAAATATTGATTGCAGCTCATTATTGGATAGCATAATTAATTTAATTGTTTATATTCATTATTTTTTAAAAAATTGAAATACATAATATTTTTAAAAATTTAAAACATAATGGAAACTATCAGGGTAAGTATTGTTCTGTAAACTACTTTCTAGCATGTAAATGTATGTGTATGTACATATGCATACATGTATACATATTATTGTTATATATGTGTACTGAGTCATGATGTAAATTTCCTTTCCTTGGTCAAAAAAATTTGATAAAACTCCTGATATGCTATAATCTGTAATTATTTTTTTTTCCTTTTTAAAATAATGAAGTAGATTCGTTGACTATTTGAAAAACTTTTTTTTCTAGGTAACTGCTTAGAGAAAATTATTAGAAATTATTTAAATATTGTCAATAACAATACTGTTTACCAAATCAAAACAGCACATGATGTGCTTTTTCAACATTTACTTTTTACTTTCAAGTAATCAAAACACCTGAAAGAAAAAAAAAATAGTTACTTTAAAAATAGTCCTAGTAAAACATTTTTTATTGTTGTAAAAAATGACCTAACCAAAAGTAAAAGATTTCATGTTTAGTCCTAGTTTTAAAATTGGTAACAATATTGATTCCTTAGTTCAGCACATGGTTACTTAGCCCCTAATATGTTCTAGATACTGAGAACAACAAAATAAGCATCCAAACATTCAGATGCCTCCACATGCCACCAAGGGCTGTAGTAGTTCAGCTGTGAAACCAGAGTTTTGAGATGAGACTAGACTCCCCTCTTTGCCAATTTCCTCTGGGTTCTTGTCTCACTAATTTTGAAGAATAAAATTTATGGATGATCATGGAAGGAAAAAGTAAACAGAGCAGGAAGGGAAGAGTAAACTGAGTAGGATTTATTTAAGCAAGAAGAGATAGAACTCCTGCCATGCTGGAGGTGGCCTGATAGCAGAAAAACTCATTTTGGTGTGGTTGAATGGGGCCCATTATCCTCACTGCTTGGTCGTTTTACTGTCTATTTAATCTTCATTCAACTCAGCCTTCTATTGTCAATTGAAGGGGTCTAGAACTATCTGGGAACTAAATATATGCTAAATATTTATGAGAATAAATCTTTGTTTCCAAATGATTTATGGTGAAAACTCTACTCAAAGTAATAACTATTCGTCATTAACTTCCATTTTTTAATGCAGCATCATACTATATTTCTTAATGAATTTTGAACTATTTAACAAACTAAGTAGTAATTTATATTTTTTATTTTTTAAAATATTTTTATATTTGTACTTTGACATTCACTATATATCATGTATATAATGTACATGTTTTGAGCATCTGGAAGTGGGTTAACTGTCATGCAAGTTTTACATCTGCTTGCTTCGTAACTTTGCCATAGCTACCTGTGTTACCCTGTGGGTGTGAATTCAAATCCTTTCATGCATTTTTATTCTGTTGTGCATCTGGTGAAGACAATGAAGTGTGATTTATAACTGAAAAATTCATGCTAACAAATGTTAATCGCTATTTTTACCAAAATAAAAGATTTATGCAGTTTAATAAGAATCATACATAGAGTTGCTTACATTTATTATATGGAGGGCATGCTGCTAATTATTATTTTCTAATGTTTCCAAAATAGGCTGTGCTAGTTCCATCCCATAGCATGAGATTATTTTTATATTATTTCTGGTATATCTCAAAAGATAAAGGCAGTTTTATATTGTACTGTTTTCAATGACCAGTAATATTTGGGAGAAAAAAAGGAAAACATGAAAACAATAAAGGTGTTCAAAAAAACCTTTAATTCACATTATATGGCAGTCAATTTGCTTTCAAGAGCAGAGCCTAGGAAATTAAATTATTTGTATATGTTTTGCATTTCTTTGTTAAAAAAAGAGAAAAGATAAGAAAAATAAAACAGAATATATAAGGTAAAAAAATACCCTTTTTTTTAAATTCAAGGGGATGAAGTTCTAGAATGGAATGGTAAACCCCTGCCGGGAGCTACAAATGAAGAAGTTTACAACATTATTTTAGAATCAAAATCAGAACCTCAAGTTGAAATTATTGTTTCAAGGCCTATTGGGTAAGGCTAAAAAAACTTGCTTCTTAAGTTTAGTAAATTACATGTATTAGTAGGGTTTTAAAAAGAAGTTTATACATTCATACAGTACATGTTAACATGGATAGATTTTTCATCAATTATGGGCATACATTTTAGATTTTTAAAATTTCTCAATTTTTAAAAACTGGACTACTGAATATTTTTACTACATTTTAGAAGCTCCATAATCTAACAATTGTAATATCAAAAGTATCAATATGTATTTTTCAAAATTGAAATAAAAAGTGATTTTTTTTTAGTAGCAGAACTTATTTTCAGAAATTCTAATTTAAGGAGTAGTATTTTCTTTAAAAGGAATTAGTAGCAAACTCATCTTGTGATATTTAAAATATTAATGATTTTATATGTCTTCATGAGATTTTTGCTATTCTACAAAGAACAAAATATTTTTTCTATATCTTTACCAATTGGGTGGTTCCCAATTAAAATCAAGGAAATATTTTGATATTTGACTTATAATAATTAATCATAGTAATTGGTATCATTTTTAAAACCTTAATTTTAAACATAATTTAATTATTTATAACCAATAGAATACTTTCTATATCTCTATATTTCCCCTATTGTTAGCTTTTTCTAGCAAAACTGCAAATTCCAGAATAAATATTCATTTTGCAAGTCTATAATTTTTAGGAAGCATTTTGTACCATCTCATCATAGTTGGCTTAATGTTTGAATGTATTCTTGGAAATAATTCTTTTTTTCCTATTCTCCAAGATATTATAGAGCCATTAATTCAGACTTTTTATGTTGGAAGACTGCTAACCTTAATTTTTGTTGTCCTCATGAATATATGTCAATGCAAAACATACAAGAAAATATAATAATCCTAATTTCAAAGGAATGAAAATGTATAATCATATACCAAAGAACATCAATATATATAAAACTCTAAAATAAAGGCAAACTTTTAACCAGTTTTAAGTCATTAGTAGACATTGAAGACCTTTGCAAAAGTATAGTTCCATGTAGATGTTTAAAATAACTCTATGATTTATGATAGTTTTACATGACATATGTTCTATTGCTGAGGTAAATATGAGACTGGAAAAGAGGTAAGTAAATTAGAAAATGAATCAGAAGTTATATAAAAATAAAATTTAAAATCAAGCTCTGCACACATTTTCAAATACTTTCAAATATATATATATATATATATATATATATATATATATATATATATATATATAATGGTTTAAAAGTAATAAGCAAAAATATCATTGATTATGGTGATTTAAGAAACCAACAGACAATTAAAGTAGACTGGAATACTATTTTTATTTTTCTATGAAAACTACTTAAAGCAATGATCATCTATCTACATAGCCAAACTCTAAACTATTATGGATTATGGAAATCAAAAAAATATAGAATACAAAGATTATGTTTGAAAAAGAATCAAAGCTGGCATCAACTTTCCAGTGATTGTATTATTAGAATAATTCTAGAGATATTTTAACCATGGGGTTTAATGTAGTTCTGTTCAGCAACTATAATTAAATTCAAAATGCAAATATTTATTCATAATTTATGTACATAATGATTTCAGGAATGATTGGCACAGCTTATGAGACATTAGCCATCTTGAGGTATTGACCATTTGGGAGTCCACCAAATATAATACCCTTAAACTTTGATGCTTATAACTGATATTTAAACTCCTTTACCACATAACTTGAGAGTAGAACTGATTAAGAAGACCTGTATAAACATCATGGGAAAATTTATGTGTGAAAATGTTACTAAAGTATTTAGCATTAAATAAATTTTGATTCAAAATCACTTTAACTTTTTAATAATTTCTTCCCTGTCCTTCTTTCAATGATGAATAAAATTCAAAGTCTATACCTTGCTTGAGGGTTCTAAATTCTAATTTTGTAATTGGCTATGAGGCTGCTTTTCAAAGAAATCATACTATTTAAAAATTATTGTTTGTGAATTTTTTATAATTTACCTTTATGTGCTTAAATGAATTTTGAATAAACAGGATAAATAGTTGGTTTCTTGTATTTTAGTCTCTTAGTTACAAATTCATATAAATAATTTATTTTATTTAAACTTATACAAAACTATACAAAAGAAATAAATTTCCCAAGATACACAGCACAGAGTATAATTTGTAAAATTTCAAAAGAAAATTTGTAAAAGTTGTAGGTCATTATGCACATTACTTATAAAAATATGAAAATAAGAGGGCAGGAAAACAATCAAACAGTGAAAACTATTTTTATTTTCCTTGCCCCCTAAAAATGTAAGGAAAATCAAAGCACAAATTAGGTCACAAGGTAAGTAATTAGAAATTCTTAAATATTATGCTGTTAATTCTGTTGATACTAGCTAACTCCAGTCTACTTTAATATGTCATGTTAATATTTCCTATAGTGTTAATCTTCTTAAATTAATATTAAAATATCTTTGTAAAAGGAGAGGTAAAGTAATATTATACAGTATAATAGCAAACAAGGTGGTCCAGGGTTCTTAAGGTCACAGTGGATAATGGCTTAAACTAAGCCTATCTTATATATTTCTTCAGAGTAATTTGTGAGTGTGATAGGAATGGGTATTCTTACAGTCATTTTCTAGTCATACAGCAAATAGCCATATATTTAGCTAACTTCAGTTTGGAGATAGGAATCTCCATGAATATTATATATGTGCATATGTATTAGATATTCACATATATATATATATATATATATATATATATATAATTGTTTGGCTTTTCTGTTGCAAGCTTGAGCCATCTTTAATTTCCAAAGCGATTCATTCTTTTCATTTTATTAACTTTGCCCATGATATTCACCATATCATTTGATTTTATTAAGAGATATTCCCATCCCTTTCATTCAGTAAACTCTTTCAGATGTGTTCGTAAAGCATACTACTGATTTGTAAAATTTGTGTCATTTTGATTTTCTATAATGGAAGTAGAATATTATCTTTAACATTTTTTATTTCCAAAACCTGCTGTTTTGGTAGTAAAAATATTGTGGTGATTTTATCCACAATATTAGTCTGATTGTTGTCATGTTAAAGTGTTTTGCTGTTAAATATCTAAAAACTTATTTTATTGGAGTTTTTTTTTGTGTGTGTGTGGCGTTTGACATCCATGTACATCAGTAGTTATCTAAATAGTAAGTCCTCTCCATTTCTACATTTCTAAAGATGCAAAAGGATTTTTTTCTGCATCATAGAAATAAAATGGGCTGTGATTGCCTCAGCCAGAGTAGTTCACCTAATCGGATTTTTACAATACCCTCTTTCTTTTAGTGACATTCCCCGGATTCCTGAGAGTTCCCATCCTCCACTGGAGTCCAGTGAGTATGAGATTTCTGTGTTATTATAAAGTTTAGAACTAAATCAAAGAGTTAAGACTTATCCTTTTCGTCAGTTATTTAACATAAAGGAATTGGTGTTACCAGACTAAGGTTGTCCTCACTGATACCAGAATTTGGCCACCATGCCAATATTGGAAGCCCAAAAAAGTTTCCTTTAAGATTTTTCTTTTTTTGCTTTTACTTTTGTGGCTATATAAAGGTCTTTACTACAGTATTAATTTAATGCCAATCCATGGCAAAATAAATTTTTGGGTCATTCTACATTATGAATAAAATGTTAATATTTGTCTCTATTGTATACAATATAATCTTAACTCCTCCTGAATGACTTCAATTTCCACATAGATAATTTTTTTCAGTCCTCTAGCTCCACAGTGAATTTTCTTTCTGCCCACTGGCTTCCATTATTATATCTGAGACTATTTTGTTGTAGATACAATTATTTGTTGTTATGTCTATTTATGAGGTTGCTCATAAGACTGAGCTGCTAACCAATCAAACAGAATAATTCGGTATCAGAACAAATTTTTATCTACAGAAAACAGAACTATTAGAGGTTTAATAATTGAGCTCTGAGAGATTCATGACTGTTTTGATGAGAAGTGGCTGGAGCTGGAGAATAATACTAAATGAAATTAGCCAATCCCCCAAAAACAAATGCTGAATGATTTCTCTGATTTAAGGATGCTGATCCATAATATGCTATGGGCAGAGGGTGAGGGGATGAGAGGATTAAATGAGACTAGGATATAAAAAGCATGCCATCATGTTATCATACCTGCAGGTTTGGCTTTGAGATATAGACCAATGTAGATGGGAAATAGGACTAACTAGTTGCATAATTATGGTATGGATAAAATTTAAAAAATTAACAGATTCTTATATAAGAAACAAACTGATTTTAGAAGCAACAGTGTTCCTGTTCTGAGTCTTGATAAAAATTATCTTAAAAGAGATCTGATAAAAGCAACATAGTAACAAAGACTATTTTACAGATCTGTTTCTTATAAGTTTCCTTTAGAGTCTAGGAGATGATGGCATGTGGCTTAATTTAGAGTTAATTAGTGAGTGCGGAAAAACAGTATGTCAATGACATACCTCAGGCAATATCCACAAACAGTATGAAACAATTGCTAAGTTTGAATGGCTCTGTGTTCAAGGTGATACTAGTCGGGTAATTGCACTCTGTTAGCATCCTACCCTTACCCATGTTGTCAGGGATACACACTATGAGAAAAGAGAACCAGCCTCCTTTATTTGAGGGTAAAGGAAGTCATTTGTCATGAATTAATGAGAAAGTGCATTCACAGAGGCTAAAGAGATTCATAGTAAGATTAAAAGTAACAAAGATAAATTTAAAAACAATGATGTAATATAAAATTAGATGTGATTCATAAATTATATTCCATATGTATACATTTTAATTTTCTAAGATACCTTATAATAAATGATCCATTTGCCACCATAATGAACACAACAGGCACCATATTCCTTATTACTAATGCATGAGCCTATACCTATATTTGGATTTATAAGAGATTATGCAGTACTGTACCCTGCAGAAATATAGCAGATCAATAACTTTTAAGTTGAAACAAATAAAGGCAACATTTTGCTAAATCATTCAAAATATCTTCAAAACAGGAGCTTAACCAAAGAAAACAAAATGGCTTTCCATAGCTGTACCTTTAAAAGTAGGCTCTATTATTAATGCTGGTAATTATTATTTTATACAAATAACAGGTACATTAAATATTTTATTTAAAAAAAGAATTATTCCTTGGACTTAAACACACTTAAATGTTACTTAAATTTTTTCTCATTTTAGGTTCAAGCTCCTTTGAATCTCAAAAGATGGAAAGGCCTTCCATTTCTGTTATTTCTCCAACAAGTCCTGGAGCCCTGAAAGATGCCCCACAAGTCTTACCAGGGCAACTTTCTGTACGTATATTTTGTACATACAAAGATACTTAGCATTTGTCACTCTTTGAGTGTGTCTTAACAAAAATCCCTGGCTTTCCTTGAAACCTACAATAAATATGTAGTCATATGACACTATAATCACTTTGTTAATTTTTAAGCATTCCTTCAGCTATTCCTTTAATTCATATATTTATATGGAAATATTTATTGAATGTCCACAATATACCATATCCTTAAATGTTACTTAATAAATGGAAACCTAAGTAAAATATTCATTATTTTGCCATGTCATATTAATGTTTCTAAGGCAATAATTATTTATATATAATTTTCTTAGAAAGTCATGTTTAATGTACTTAACCCCTTCTGAGTCTAGAGCCTGAGAAACTTAAATTTAAAATAATCTTTGTAGATTCCTAAGGCATTTGGTGAAATGATAGCACTGCAGGCACTCTAAAAAAATTGCCATTTCCCTCACTTGTGTCTCCATGTGATCTGGGGAAAGCCAGGATTTGGACACCATAGCTAACTATTATGAAGAGATTGTAGATTGATTCAGAATATGGGACATATTATGAAGAGATATGTAGATTGATTCAGAATATGGGACATATGAATAAATAACTAAAAAGAAAACCTAGCTTCAAATTATTCTACAATTAATTGATTTTTTGTTGTTTTGGTAATGTGTTTATTTCTGTTTCTCTCTTTGCTATTCTTAGTTTTAATTAGTCAAAGATAAATGTAAGCTCACTTATTTCAAAGGCTTTCTTGGTTTTCACTCCTACTTTTAGTATAATTAATATCTTAGTATAGTCCCTTATATTTATTTTATCTGCCTTAAAATCTTTTTTTTTTTTTAGTTTGTGTATACTCTTCGCCTATACTTTTAAAAGAGTGAAAATCTATTGGGGTTTTATGAAAAATGTCTCCCTAGTATTAACTGAGAACTGGAGGGTTGGATTCATACAGATCTGGATTCTTAATTTGCCCCTCGCTATGAAAAAACACTCCCATATTAAAATAGCTTATTTTGTTATCATGACTCTTAAATATGCTCCAACATGTGATCATCAGCCATGTATATTTATATTTCTTATTCAACCATAAAATCCAAAGGAACTTCTAGATTAAAGAAATAAAACGAACTCTATGGTTACTTTAATGTGTCATTACTGCTGCCAGCACAAATCTCTCCTGACAGCTGAAGTTTGGTTCTAAGGGTTTTGACAACAGAATGTCAGTGTGCTGTTTCCCATTTTTCTTAGTTTAACTATCAAGCAATTTTAGTTAGCAGAAATACCATCTGTCCCTCATGTGGTTTGAAGATATCATTTATGCACTGAGTCCTCCTTTGTTTATTTTCCCCTTCTCATGAATTAGCCTGTAGTAAGTTAATCATAAAACTTAAATGAGAAAAAATGACAGAAAACACTTAGTAGCTTCCCAATGTCTTTTAGTCTCTTATATCTGAATACTGAAACTTCTTTCATCAACCCATGGCACTAAAAAGTGCATTTAGCTGATCTATGATCGAGTCACTGGTAACCACCAAACTTTTGGGTTAAGCATTTAAAAAACAAGGATAATGATTTCAATATTGCCCTCTTCCCCAAATTGTGGCATAAGATATAGTACTGTAGGCCTGTCAGCTGTAAGTTAGGTTCAAAATGCTTCGAGAGAAAAGTTGAATTCTAAATGATTACACTTTCCAGTTGGTGTTCTTTTCAGAAATAATACATGAAGTTTTATTATAATACAATTTAAATGTTTTTCTTTAAATATAATTTTAATATTATTTAATGTAAAAATTATAATACTTCATGCTTTTTTTAAAAAATAATTCCTTTCTGCATTGCTCTTAGGTGAAGCTGTGGTATGATAAAGTGGGACACCAGCTGATTGTAAATGTTCTGCAAGCAACAGATCTACCCTCTAGAGTAGATGGGCGTCCCAGGAATCCTTATGTAAAAATGTATTTTCTTCCAGATAGAAGGTAGTGAATAATTTTAGAAAAAATGCTAAAATATGTACTAACAGAAGAGATAGAATATTTTCTTCTGAAATATATTTTCTAAATGTAACAGATTATTTTTTCAGAGGGAGCAAACTTCATTTTATATGAAAAAAAAAAAGTCCCTCAAGCTTTTTGTTTACTTGAAAATAATCTGGCAATTTTTAAACATGTTCATTACCTTGTTTATCCATGTCTTTGATAGCAGCACATCATTTAGAATATACCTTTGTGTGTTTGTGACTATAATCATAGCTTCTGCTTACATTGAAGTTGAAATTAGAATTCTATCTAACTCTATAGTGTTTTCAGACTTTTATTTTATACGCTAAAAGTAGTAAAAAACCAGTAGCAATATTACATGTAACTGCAGTAGGTGGCAGCATATACTTGTTTTGCTTGCTCATTTACAAAACATCCTTATTTTTCAGTGATAAAAGTAAAAGGAGGACCAAAACAGTAAAGAAAGTACTAGAACCAAAATGGAATCAAACTTTTGTCTATTCACATGTACATCGTAGAGATTTTAGAGAGCGAATGTTAGAAATAACTGTGTGGGATCAACCAAGAGTACAAGAAGAAGAAAGCGAATTTCTTGGAGAGGTGATGTATATTGTAGAGATTCAAGTCAAATGCTCAATGAGGTTTTTATTAAAAAATTACATGTTAATTATGATTACTGATAAATTTTGTTTTGGTAAAGGTGCTTAAATTAATTTGAGAACCACCCTTTCAGATCCTCATAGAATTGGAGACAGCACTTTTAGATGATGAACCACATTGGTATAAACTTCAGACACACGATGAATCTTCACTACCTCTGCCTCAGCCATCACCTTTCATGCCAAGGCGACACATTCATGGAGAAAGCTCTAGCAAGAAGCTTCAAAGTAGGTCAAGATCTTTTTAGTTACCAGAAAATAATTAAGTTTTAATGATCTAATTGGAGATTATCATGGAAGATACTTTTAAGGGTTTTATTACAGATTAAACTATTGGAAAATTGATCATCTATATAAAGAGTCTGGACAAAACTATTTTCTCCATTTTCACAATAAAATAACATATATATCATAGCAGAGGAATTCCAGAGCTAAGAGCTAAAATACTATGAGTTATAATTCTTATGCAAGACTCTTTGAGTTGCTAATTGGTTAAATGATAGAGTAATTTCCATCATTATTAATGGGTTGCTACATGTCAGGTCTTAATAACTTTATAGTTCATGGATATTTTTAGTCTTATATTAATAAGAAATATGCTTTTTAAACATAAAGTTTATTGTTATTCATTTGGTGGTCAGTAAAATTTATTTTGCTGTAGTATCTAGTAATTTTTTGAGTTATAAATAAATTTTTTTATCTAACAACCGGAATTAGAAACCTCATTTTGGTAATCTGGAACCAAATATTTTAGGTGTAATTGAATATTTCATGTTAGTCCTTTCTTTCAATCATTTCCCCAAAATTAATGTTTAATGCAGTATAATGGCAAATTCTAGAAACTAAACATACATATTTTAAAAAGACCCTGATGTCCTTTCAATAGTATGAGCTCCACAGAGCTCCATCCAAGGGAGGTTCTTTGAACCTTTTCCACTCAGCCCCATCTTTCCTGAACTGCCCAGGAAGGTGATTGGCTGTGTGGAAAACAGTGCGTATAAATGGCCATTGGCTTTTAGTGTAGAATTTTAATTAAAGAGTAATCTGAAAGGTCAAAATCTTATCTTACAAGGTCCCTTTGCTTTTATGTCTTCAGTATGATGCTATAGTGAGGAAATTCTTAGAAAATATCCTTAGAAAACAAACATTAATTACATAAAATATCATCTCAAGTGTTTATACTATTCTTGTTCAAAAGTATTGAGTAGCAATGTATTTAGTATAAAAAATTGACCGTATCCTTTACATTTCATAAACCAATCAGACACAGAGGTATCTGTTTGCCTTACTGTTGTGCAGGATCTCAGCGAATCAGTGATAGTGACATCTCAGATTATGAGGTTGATGATGGTATTGGAGTAGTTCCTCCAGGTGCGTTGGTGAAGAGCATGGCTCAGCTTCACTGTGCTTCCTTGCTTGTTTTCGCTGTCAACTTCTAGACTTTTTTGGGATACTGAACTGGAGATCTGTAGCACAGAAAAATCAGTATTTTACTATTCCATGGTGACTTGCATTTCAAATTTTTAAGAAAGTTTAAAATGTAATAGTATCTATTAATAAACATCCCTATGACTTAATTTAGGTTCATTCATTGAAGTTTAACTAGGTGAAATCAATCATTATTTCACAATGCTCTTAGCAAAAGTGAAAATATGAATTTCATTTTGAAAGAATATGATGAATTGTATTACATAAAATTCCATTCTTCCGTGTTTCATATTGTATTTCTGTGATTCTCTTTCCTCCATTTCTGAGAACACAGTAGCCTTCCATGGAATATACTGAGAAAGGTGCATGGCAGGGCTTATAACTGCATGTGGCATGGCTATAATTTTAATACTTTTGTGATGTGTACACTACTGATTATACCTAGAATGTGTGTGTGTGTTGTCAAATCAGAAAGTGCCTTAGAAAGATTCGAAACTCATTTGAAGTCTTATCTTTTATTCATTGTATAAACTAGTGAGATTTTTGTGATATTGTACAGTCCAAATTTATGTTTTCTGTATGACTTTTGTCAAGGAAGTGTGTAAAACCAAGTAGTAATGGCTTACTTTTTTGGGTACTAACACTATATTGCTTTATTAATTTAGTATTAAAAGGAAAGTAAATATTCCAATAAGAATAAATTAAAGAGCTAATCCTGGAACATATACATGTAATTATTAATAGCAGTTTGTTGGAATAATATTGTCTTAAGTCCCCTAGATTTACATAATTTCTCAGATAGGGATGCACTTAATTTGAAGGCAATGATTTTGGCAAAATTCATAGACTCCACACCAGTGACTAAGTTGGCAATTTGGAGAGATGCATACAACTTTATTAAACATAGGAGAAAATTATGGAAAATTCTCTCAAATCAGATTTCATTTGCTCTCTACAATCCAGAGAAAATATACTATTTAATCATGTATAAAAAGTAGTCAGTGTTGGTAAAACAATAAATCTAGTGCTATATACACCTACATACAATTATATAACTTTAATATCAGAGTATCAGTGAGAATTTTGAAAAAGATTGGATGACATTTTCTATTTGCTTTCTGTTTTATTTTTTTAATGATCATGGAAATTATGCACATTCTTGACAGAAATGATTACATAAAGTATAATAATTATTTTCATACAATTGAAGGCACATGTGGTTATCAGTTTAAATCCATTGACATATTCAAGTAGAATCAAATGGTTCTTTTTGGGAAAGTCATCAAATATAACACAATTCTTGGCTATTCATCAGCGTTAATGGTATTGTTACTACTTATATAAATAAAATTTACTTCTAAGAGTGGTTCCCATATTTTACTCACTTGTAATTTCATATTTTTATAGGGAGGCAGGACAGAATTAAGGAATAAATTAATAGATAATGAAATAAATATTTACTAAAATAATGCATTTCTTCTCTTTTCTGTGACACATTACATAGATATCAGCATCTAAGAAGTAAAAATGAGTTATAGGACCCACTATACATGGGAACAGTTCTTGGGTACCACCAAAGAACACTGAATTCTAAATATTCTTATATTCAGTACTGAAATATATTGCTCATACTATGTGTTTGTGAACATATAATCACTTGTATCATACAGAAGCAGTGTTTAAATTTTCTTTTCAAACAGTATTTTTCATTTTTCGTTAGTATTTAAAAATATAATATGCTGAAATTTGAAAGAATGTAATTAGTGATTTACATAGTAACTAGTGATTTACATAAAACATAACCAATAAATAATAAATTATGTTTCAGATGTCATTTCATAAATTAGTAAATGGGATCATGATATTCATTTATAGTTTCAGATGTACTCTTCATTGATCCAATGATTGAATATATGGTACCTTCTAAAGATATGTGTGGCAAAAGTAATATAATAAGCCACAGAGTAATAGATAGTATATTTTAAATAAAGAGGAAAGATGAGGCATTGAAAAAATGGGCAAGAAGTTAAAATGAAGTGAGGGGGTAAGTTAATAAACACACATAATGTATTCCCCTATCTTTTAGCAGCTGATCACAAATTTGCTTCTATATTTTCCAGCATGAGTATGAAGAGAACATTTATGTAGATGTGGATGCTAGTTCTACATGTTTAATGTACTCAGTGTAATTCCTGGTTGCATATGACCTGAAGAAGCTTAAAATCTTACCCCAGCCAAATCTTAAACTTTCCAATACCTTGACTTTTCTAGAATGTCTCCCACATATTTGCTATGTTTTGTTTTGTTTTGTTTTTTTATAGAGAGAAGCATAGCAGATTCTGAAAGCAGTTGATACCTCCATGGCTAGAGTTCTCAACTCTATAGCTTTGTGTAATTTAAAATAAATAATTATAGTGCCTTAAAATAATAAATACCATATAAAAAAGGCCCTCACTTGAGAAGAGGCATCTGGTAACTTAACCTTTTGAATGTTACAATAAATTCAGAAAATTAAAAAAAAAAAAAAACTCTCTGATTTCTAACTCTGAGCCAATTAAAACATTGGGATGAACACTAAATAGCAATCCGCCCCACTCATGTTTCTGAAGGTAGAGCACATATTTTCAATGCTTAATTAATCACAACAAGAAAGACATGTTACTTTTAAAAGCAAGAAACTACAAATGCATATTTATCTACAATGATTTAGTATAGAGTCAGACATTCAAATTTTGAATAATATAGCATGTAAATGAGACTTAGAATGACTTTGAGTCACCACAATAGTGTATGTTGCCTTCAATATACTCTCTGTATAAAATCGGAACTTTCTAGTGAATTTTAGGAAAAGTTATATTAAATAATCTTAGTGTATGAAAAGTTTTAGGGTAATATTTTGTTCTCTGAACTCTTTTGTTGATAATAGTATAAAAGAGGCATTGCTCTCTATATAAACACCAAACCCTGCAAAAAAATTATATATTTTAACGGCAAAATTCTTTAGAATTTCTCTCTTAATATTTAACTATACTACATCTAGTATATATCTTGAATATTAATTGAAATCATGAAATTGATCATGTTTCTAATTCAGTATTGATGTTCCAAACTATTGTATAATTGATACCAAATGGTAATTTAAATTGTTAAGTAAGTCTAACCTTGGATTCCTTATCCATGAAAATTGTGACCATTTTTATAATGAGCTGTGAAGTATATTCACTACCTGCTAATTTAGTTGGTCTGTTTCTCATCTTTATGTTACAATTTATACATCTGAACACCAAAAATATTTTCTACATAAAACTCAAAAAAATTGATAGCCATTTATTTGACAACAAACTGAAATATATGCATTTACAAATTATGCCATTTATGTTATCATTTTTGGTCAGTATAATGATGTTTTTAACATTATAACAAAGTAGTTTGAACTTGTTTTATCTCAGTATTATCATATTTCACTTTATGAGACATTTAAAAACCATGGTGATGTTTTAAAATTTAGTCATGAGATGATGTAGTCATAACAGATAAACTGCTGAGGAATTATTTGTAAGTGATGTTTTATGGCATATTTTTAAAAGGATGTGGGAGTTATCAAATAAAAAATGAACAAAAGCATGAGCTCTGTCCAGTTAGATTTTCATGGTTCATGTACATTTTATGTAGTTATTGTAAATAGAACTGTAGTTGTATATAGAACTGTATTACTACACATTATATTTTTAATTTTTCTTGCTCTAACAGTGATTCTTTTCAAGAAATTTTAAATTCTAAACCATTATTATGGATTTGAGATAACTATTTTATTTTACTCAAACCAGAGATGATATAAACCTTTTTGCTTCATGGGATAAATGGCCATTAGAATTTATTTTAATTGTATTTGTCTTAATTATATTAGCTTATGATAATAATTAACAAAATTATGCAATACTTTTATATGTCATCTTATAGATTTGATGACTTGTTAAGGTTGATTTTCTCTGCATTGCCATAATCATCTCTACTCATACAATTCATAATTTGACAATTATAGTCTTATCTCTGGTTTGCAAAATTTCACAATCAGTATTTGTAATAATAAAGAGCTGCTACCCTTCTTCATAAATTAAAATTGGCATGGAATTATTTTCATTTTTAAATTAAAATTGATATGATAGTTTCATTTTTTTTACTAGGCCATCTGTAGTCCAACTAAAATAAAATAATTTATTATTTGGAAGAAAAATTTAAATGAAAAACTTAAATTGAAGGAGACATAAAATTTCTAAGCATTGATTATGTATATCAACTATAATTCACTGTCAAGTGCTTCATTTATGTTGCTGAAAAGTAACTAATTCATTTTTTCTTTTAATTAAATAGTATCCCAACTCATCCTAATGTCTGAGGCATCATCTGTCATGTTTACATTCAGTTTCTTAATGGTAGCATAGAACCAAATTGCAACTGTTCTTATGCATGTATTTATCACACTCTGTGTCCATATACTTAGTACATTTGAGAATAAGGCTAATAATAATGATTGCATGGCATTTAATATTAATAGGTCAGTAAATGCTTTAACATAATTTCATATGTCCATGTTAATGTGTGCATTATAAAAAAGTACTAACAATTTTTTGTGTATACTTTTGCCAGTGGGTTATAGGTCTAGTGCTAGAGAAAGTAAATCAACAACATTAACTGTGCCAGAACAGCAAAGAACAACTCATCACCGCTCACGTTCAGTATCTCCTCATCGCGGCGATGATCAGGGAAGGCCGCGTTCACGTTTACCAAATGTGCCATTACAGAGGTAGGCTTAGTGTCCCTGTATTTTTTAATTAAAAACACATTGTGAATTTCTGCAATACTCTTAACTGAAATGAAACAATGGTTAGGTCAGTCGAATTATTTTTTTTTTCCAGAATTGTTTGTAGGCAAATGCTTCTTTATTCTTTATCCAACCTATGCAGCAATCTGTTCTTCAATCTTAAGAAATTTTTCAGAGAGTGAAAGAAGTTTATGTTCTAAGGATAAGTTTTGAGAAACTGTTTATATTTGTGAGTTTTCTCTCCTTTCAGGGAAATTTTATAGTAATCACTAAGAACTGTGCAGTGAAGTGACAAGGGATAAGGTTAGGAGGCAGAATGTATTTTTAGGAGATTTATTATTATTTCCTTGAAACACTTTAAAAGCTTGGAGAAGTAGATGAAATATCTGTAATATAGTACAATACTATATTACAGTACTCGTCAGTGGTTGTAATTAAGCAGATGAAAAATTGTGATCCTTTTTTGATAGAGATGCTAGAGAAGGTTGAAGAAATGCAGCACAGCCAAAACCTAGAGAATAAATACTTTTAACTCATTGATTAAAATAGATTTGGGGTATGATGGCAGCACTTTTTAAGCCATGTCATTTGTTTACCAATTGCTATCAGTTCCTTCCTCTTGGTCTGTCTGTCTGTCTGAGAGGATGATTCACTTTGACTAATACATTTTTATCATCATTTTAGGAGCTTAGATGAAATTCATCCAACAAGAAGATCACGTTCTCCAACCAGACACCATGATGCCTCCCGAAGTCCTGCTGATCACAGATCCAGAGATGTGGATAGTCAGTATTTATCAGAACAAGACAGGTACTTGTCCAAATTATGATATCAACATTACAAGTTTTTCTTTTTTCTGTTTTAATGTGCACAAATATTGTGGCATACTACATTAAAGAGTAAACATATGTCATCACTCAAAACACAACTTCTCTCAAGGAACAGCTGTTAAGATGTTCTTATAAAATTGCAACTCTACAAATATTTGGACAATAATATATTGTTATAAAACTTTTTTTCCCCAAAGTTACACTTCATGTCTATCTAGTTGTAAAGGCAAAATTTGTTCTTGAGTTAGACACCGACCTAAATTTTAGAAGGGAGCCTACATGAACAAGTTTCAAATATTTATCTTTTATGGGTCACAATGGTTGGGATGTTATTTTTCTAATTATAAAGATTGTTATTTATGAAATTAAAAACCTTTTGGAAATGGGTCATCTGGAAATTAATATTGCAGAGTGTTGGAGAGAACTTCATTATTAATGTTTTTATCATATACCTCAATTTTTCTGAAATATTATTCCAGAAATGTCTGTAAAATAGAAAATGTTGGGATGGAGTCTTTTGAATAACCATGTAATTTAGTTCTGCATGTATTTATGTACATATAATTCTTGGAAATTTATTATAAGTCTACATTATGAATTTGTTTTCCCACACATTCACAGCCTTTCTCCCCAGAATAACCACGTTTGTACTATAACTTGACCATAAGTTCAGGGTCTGATTTTTTTATCCCCCTTGTTGAATATTCTCTTCTGGCTTTTCAAAGTAGAGAAACTTTCCATGAGGAGTAGGGAAATGATGGTAGTGCTGAATGATTTATTGCCATGAAGACAAGGACCAGAGGCCAGGTTGAGCTTCTTACCTCCTAATTGTTACCCTGCTGTGGGATGTGGTGCCATGCCCTACAAGAGGGGAGTCACCCTGGACACTGGGACAGGGAAATGCTCTGAGAAATAGGATTCCAGACTGTTAAGCTTGAACTGAGTTGATTGAGGGCTGCTTTGCTTTTTTGACATTGATTTAGCACTCAGTGAATTTTACTGAGGAGGAAAAACAAAGGGTCACCTGACCAAGGAAATCAATATAGTGAAACTAATTTGGATAAAGAAAACAGTGTCAATTTTAAAAGAAAAACTCCTAATCAAGTACCTTCCCAATTGTTTAAGAAAAAACACATGGTATGGCATTTTCTGTAGCTGTTAGAGCTAAGAAAACTATCTTAAGTTGCTAAAAATAAATAAAAGTTTTAGGGTTCCAATTAGAATCATAAAATCAAATTTTGTATTTTTAAATAAATATTCAAATGTCTACACTTAGAAATCACTTCCTTATCTTATTTGGGTAAGGTTTATTTTTGTTTTGTTTTTATAGTCTGTGAAATCATTTTGAAAGACAATAGCAAGTCAGTAATAGCTAGGACTTCAACCATAATGTTTGTACTTTATTGTTTAACTTTTTTAAATGCTGTCATGTTTATTTTTGTTTAACCTCTCAAGCAAATATGCTAGTGCAGACAATCTGGTTTCTTCCCCTTTCATGTTTCCATCTGCATACCATTGGCATAATCCATGTCATTTAATGCTTCATAATGTATCTGTTTCACTCACCACCCATCCTGTCTGTGCAGTGAGCTTCTTATGCTGCCCAGAGCAAAACGAGGACGAAGTGCAGAATGCCTACATACTACCAGGTAAATACAGGGAACTGGTAACGGTGACTGTGTGTGATGACTCTCTCCATTCTACTATTCTTCCATCTCTCCCTTATTGTTATTATGACTTACAGGTAAAAGAAATTTCCCAACTATCCAAAAATTGTTTCATTGTGTATGGAGATTATGAAAAAATTTCCAAGCATATTTCAGTTCTAATCCAGGCAAACAATATTGCCATCTGTATATTTCAAAATCCAGAGACTGTTGAGCCTCTGTGAGACTATTTTTATGTTCATAAAACTGAGGAAACAGTTTCTAAAATGAAAATTCTAAATGCTCACTGTGAGCACCCCCCCACATACCTGTCTAGTCACAAGAGTTCTGATTTGTGCATAGCAATGTTATTGTTTTCATGATCATAATTTTGCTTTTTTAAATTTTCTTTCAGAATCTACTGTTATTTATGTTCTGTTTGCTTTTATTGCAGTGTTTACCAGTTCATTTGTTAATTTTTTTTAGTTGTAGTTGGACATAATACCTTTATTTTTTATTTATTTTTATGTGGTTCTGAGGATGAAACCCAGTGCCTTGCACATAGTAGGCGAGTGTCCCACTGCTGACCCATAACCCAAGCCCTATCAGTTCATTTTTAATGGCTGAGCTTCTGCTTCTTTCTTAAAAAGAGTGACAATGTTTGACATGTCAACTTCATAACTACCCACCCCTGCCAGTTGGAAGTTTGTTTGCAATTTTAACTTTCCCTTAAAGGCATGTAACAGTATGATACCTCTTTAGAAATTAGGAGAAAAGGTATGTAATACTTGCCTCTAAATCGGAACTAAAAGCTTGATGCTCATTATATCTCATTATATCTTGAATTTCAAATTAAAAAAAAAACTTCCATGTTGCTCATGGATTATAGTCTATCAATATTTATTGTCAATCTAAGTCTTTAACAGAAAAATAAAAAAAATAATCAATCAAGAAACACACACACACAAAAAAAACATGTTTCAAATATTTTAGCAAATTAAAAAAATAAGAGGATCGATAAAGAAAGGAGTATAACTAAATGCAAAGACAAGTGCCAGATTTGTTGTGTCTGGGGCAAATGTTGTTCTGTTCAATCCAAATTAAATCCCAAAATTAGACACAATTTTGTGTCTAAAATTATTCTACTTTTTTATGCCACAGGAAAAATTATGGAAGTAATTAGTTCTGCTTACCAACTGAGGAAAAAATATAAAATTATTAATATTATAAAAATCACCTTAAATTACTTATGATAAACCATCCATGCTTATTATTAGATGTCTTTCCAAACAAATAGTTTGCTAATAGGTATGTTTTGTTTGCTAATTCTGGAGGTTTTCTCTTATTTCTGTTGATGTGACTATGAATGTAAAAAAAGAAAAAAACTCAAAACAGATACACTCACAAATTCTTTATGTTTACTAATAAATATTGTATCTACCTGACACCCAGTGTGTATTCCTAGTACATTCATACCTTTAGTCTAAAGAGAATTGCAAAAAAATTTTTTTCCTTATTTTTTTTCTGGTGAAAGTGAAATATCGGGATATACAAAATATGATATACTAGTAGTTGCATCATTTTACACAATCTATCCTTAAGATGGATGCTTTACTAATAATTCAGAAATCCATATATAATATCTGTTTAATACAATTGGTACATTCATTTTGCATGTTAGAAGAAAAGCTTGATGCTTTATGTTAGCCTCATTATATCTTGAATATACATGTAACTGAATGTTCAACTGAGGCAGATAAAGCCCTGCTATGAAACACTGTTACAAAAAAAAAAAAAAAAAAATACCAGGAAGTAGAAGTAGAACTAACCAAGTGTATAGTTCAGAACATGTCACTAATATCTCCTCTTTTCCACCCCTTCCTGAGTTTTTAAATAGTAACAGTAATTGTTTCATTTAACTGATTCCACAACTGTCAATTATATTTTTTGTTATAAAGTTGTAACCACTATCATTTTATTCCTTAATTTTCAAAAACTACCCTTTCTTTCACTCCCTTATGTGTAATGCTAAAAATGTAGAGATAGAGAAAACATGAGTTTGAATATATGTATGTAAATGGAATCTTTTCTGCACTTGTACTCATGTATTTATAAAAGAATTTTATCTGTATTTGAATAAATGCATATATGTGTATATGTGCACATAAATAACCACCAATTTTGTGGATATAACAATAATATAGTTTGATTTCATAATAATTACAGAAATTTATTATTAATATGACTTTCATGGATGAATCCTAACCATTGGTATAAAAATTTTCCATATCATGTTCACTTAGAACTTTAAAAAAATAAAATCCAAGGATTTTATAATCTCCAGTATACATAAGAAAAATAAAATTTATTGCATACCAAGCACAATGTTAAATATTTAATTTACTTCATTTCAGTTTTCTACAGCACTTAATGTGCATATTATCTTCATTTTACAGATTAGGAAAATTGCTAAGAAAATTTGATACATAACAGAATAAGGATTTGAAATCAGATTGACAGATTTTCCAATTAACTAGTTTTTCCAGGAATACAATAATTCTTCTTGTGAGATTTTCTGTCAATAAAAGAGTTCAGAAACTTTACAAAGTCCCTCCTTGGAGATTTATTAGGCATATGGTATTAAAATTATGTACTAAAGAAACCTCTCTCATGTTATTTAATCCATTTCCCCTAAATTATTTATCACAAAATACTTGTTTTCATAAAACCTTTCCTCAGGAAGTGCTCATGTAGAGAGTGTCATATCAGATATAAATACTATCATCATATTTAATGCTCACACATTTTGTTGAATAGATATTATTTTCCTCTTTTGTAGATATAGAAATAAGCTTAGGGTCTTGACCTGAATTTTTCCAGTCTGAGCTAGTAAGTGGCAAAGTCAAGGTGTTTGTGCTCATGTTGTTACAAAAGATTAAGCATTCAGACTACAAATTTTGTGCTATTTTCCATTCTGTTTTTCATTCCATGTCAATCTCTGATTAGAATGATCCTGAAAAACAATAACTTTTTGAAACAATTGCTTAGAAAAATTTTGTAGCAACCTATTACTAAAGATATTTGCCCAATATTAGGGTTAGCAAAGACCACTCTGTAAAACTGGTAGAATCCTTTGTGTCAATAAACTTTTCCTGTAGTGTATACTTGAAAATGGTCTTTTGCTAAATTTTTAAACTGAAGTTTTCAGGGGTTCCCTCTGATTTGACCATTGGCATAACCACAATTAAACCAGGACAGTGTTTGATAATTAGTATGTCCTTGGCAAATGTTTACTCCCTGCCTATTCATCACACTTTAAACTAAAATGGATGCTAAATACTCATAATGAGTAATTAACTTTGTAGAACATTATTATTTACCAAAAAATTAATTAATGGACTGATTTGCCCTTCGTGGCTTATATAGTCCAGAAGCATTGATAGGTTTTAGGGGATTCAGGCAAAGTTGGGCCTTGTTTCTAGCATTTTATGCCAATTCAATATTCAAATTCGAATTTATATCAAATGTCTACCTCACCCAATTTCCAGTGGTGAATTAGATTTGGATCCAGAAGCAGATAAAAGAATCTTTTTTCCTTGGCAGTCACTTCTTGGTTGCCTTTTTCTTTTTCTTTGTTTTACTGAACTCAGTTCCATGTCTAGCCTTATTCCTGTAATGCTGGTCAATTCTTTGTTTGTTTTTAAAACAGAATTTTTACTTTCTTAGTTATATTTTAACTCCCAAATTACATAAACTATTTGATTTGTATTTTTAGCTATGAGTTATTTACTTTCATAAAGTAACCATAATTTTAAGATTGGTTAATAAAAACTCATAGAACTTAGCTAGCAGTTATTTTTCTAAATAAGGCAATTATAATTTTGAGTATGGTAAAGTCAGGTGTCTATGATTTCACATTTTATTAATTTTAATCCTGCCTTCAAATAATTATTGTGGTTCTTTGCAGTAAAAAATAAATTCATCTACACAACTTTATTGGCCTCCTACTTTCTTTATGTCCTAGTAAAATGTTGCTTCATAAATATTTTTCTGTTCCCTGCATGTTTGTGTTGCCACTTTGCAGACATCTTGTTAGGCACTGTAAAACATTACCACCCAAGATGCCTTTATTACAGAACGGCTCTCACTGGGATATCTACAGGTAAGAGCCATAGAAGTGAGCCCTAGTTGTAGACCTAATCCCTAATCCCTTGCCTACTAAAAATAGAAAGTTTACATTCTTATAAAGCATTAATATTCTCTTTTGAAATTATATAGTGAGAACCATTAATAATATCTACATTGTTTTAGTTATAAAACATTAATTATAGAATAATTCTCTAAATGAAATCTGCACACCCATGTCAGAATTCTAGTTTGTTTCTTTGTCATTTATTTATTGTTTTACTTGTTGATTTTAATTACAGTAATTAATTTCATTTTGTTTTATTTGTGTGTAATTTTAATTTATGAAGCTCAGTTCTGCCTGCATATTCTAAGACCAAATCAGTGACTAGACAGGACATTCCCCTTCATCATGAAGGCTTTAACTCAAGAGTATTGAGATTTACTGATGAGATATTGGTTAGGTAAGAACATCTGGAAGTGCTGCCTTCCACTCACTTGTCTATTGTTGTGAAACCAAAAAGTTGAGCTGTATGATTATTTCTCCTCTGATGTCCTTCATTTTGTTTTGGTGTGGCATTTGTTCTTGGTAATGAAGTTTTAGGCATTTTTGTTTTAGTGCTTCCTGTATCCAGTTTTTTCATAAGTAGGTGTGATTTAATGTCATATTTCAGTCTGAAATCCTCTTTTAAAATTATGCAAATCAATTTAAGCATAATCTTTGTTTAGTTTCATTTTCTAAACAAAATTTTGCACTGTCATCCTATCAACTATCTCACACCCTTATGAACTGAATCACAGTGATTCTACATTTTATGTAAAGAGAACATTATTTTATGCTTTACTCTCTAACATGGTCTTCCTTTCTTTGTTTTCTCTGTCTTTCTCTTCTACCACTGGATGCAATGCACTGGCACTAGTGAACTGCAGCCCTCCCTTGACAGGGCTAGGAGTGCTAGTACCAACTGCTTGAGACCAGATACTAGTTTGCATTCACCAGAACGAGAAAGGTATAAAATAAAGACTTTCTTAATTTCTTATCATTTGTACTGGTGATTTTTTTTTCAATCACTTTGTTTTGTTTCATGTGAGTCTCACAGGTTTATTCATTCATGTTCACTGTGCTAATTGTCCACATCTCCCCCCTCCTTATTACACATGTCTATACAGAGATATGCGTATGTGGATACAACTAAGAGTGCACATACACGTATTTCTATGAATGTTGAAAATGGTGTGATGTAATTTGTAATTGCTTCTGGCTGCTGCTTTTCTACTTTTGTTGCTCTTCAGTCCTTTTATTTATATACTACTCAGGGATCCTTCAGTATGCTGATACTATTATAAGGTCCAGTCAATTTCTCCAGGGGTGGATCACCTTCCCATGAGTTAAGAGCAGTCTTCCATAAACTCAAAATAGGAATTCAGTTTAGATAAAATATTTCCCTTATGCATCTATCTTCATTTTTGAATCAATGTGCTCTTTTATATATGTCATATTTTGCATTAAATTATATTTTGACAAGAGGAGTCATATGTTAATCAGATTTCTTGATGCCTTACCAAATAAATACGTACAATATATAATGTATGTATGCACATGTACTTTTTAAAAATTTTTAATTGATTGAGTAATAACAATTCTGATTTTAATTCAGACTCACTCAGTGATTGTGTTATACTGTCTTTTAATTGTATCTCATTTTCCCATTGTAAAAGAACTTTCTATTCCAGTAAATTTAGTTATAATTGGTCGTCTTGATTATAATTGCTATCTTTTTTATTTAGAAGTCATTTAGAGGATATCTGCATGCTACCTCTTTATAAATCCTGAAGAAAAATTATTTAGTGACGCTAATGAAAGCCACTTATTCTTCAGAGGGTGCTTAAAGTTTTTCCTTAACAATTTTTGTACTCTATCAGTAATTTATTTCTGGTATTAAAAAATTGGTACAAATATTCATTTCTATTTTATAGCATCTTGATAAGATTTTACAAAAAACCTTCTTTTATTCTGTAATATTCATATTTGTAAAATTAATCATAGAAAGAAATTAATTTTTATTTTGTATTCCTTTGCATTTATAATAGAAATTTTAGTTGAAATGACAATAAACTCCTAAAATCACAGTTGAAGTAGTTTTACCATTCTCTCTTTTCATATATCCCCCTCACACACAATAATTACAAGGGTAGTGGCAAGAAACTTACTATTTTTTCTATTATTATTTATATGTTTCTTATTAGTCTTATAACATGGGCAAGAATTGCTCAGGCCAGTGGAGTCTTGTGATTATAAACACATCTAACATTTTCACCATCATCTAGGTCAGTGCTGATAGAAATATAATGCAAACCACAGGTGTATTTCAAATTTGCTAGTACCCATGTTGAAAAGGTGAAAGTAACACTTCAACTTAGTATATTAAAAGTACTGTTATTTAAATATATCAGTAATATAAAAGTATTAGTGAAATATTTTGCATTCCTTTTTCATAACAAGTCATACATGCTAAGTGTATTATGTATTTATGGCACTCTCTAATTTGGACTAGCTACTTTCTTATGGCTACTGTATGGGACAGTGTGAGTCTGTTCTTATGGGGAAGCCTATCTAGCATATTTACCCCCATTGAAGCCACAGAATTTATAAATCTGTATGTTGCTGAATTTAACCTCTCAAATAATAGCCCTTGAAACAGGTCAATCTCTACCAATAAGCTGGCCACACATATTAATTACATAGATTAACATGAAGTTCCAGTGAGTATAATTACCATTAATATAAGAGGAAAAAATGGATTGAAAATATACTTACTCTCTATATTGAATAAGAAGAAATTTTCCATTGAAAAATCAAAGACAATATCAATGATTCTTAATTTGTTCAGATCATTTTGTCACTATGAAAAACAAATGAGACAAATTTTCATCAAGTAAATTACAGAAATTATAAATGCTTATTGGTTTGGAAGGTTGGGACTACAAATGCCCTTTTGTGCATGCACCTAAGAGAAGCTTTGAAGTAGAACATAACGGTATTGAAAACAAGACTGTTCCTTTTGGAGAACAGTTAAAGTCCCAGGCATGATGAGCAGAGAATAGGAAGAAAGCTATATAGGGCTTTCCCAACTGCTTAATTTCTCTGGTTGATCATGAGACTTATGGTATTAATGTCTAATATATACATAGTGGATAAGTGTCACCTCTTTGCCAAAGTTAATTTTATATTCTTAACATTGTAACATCCTTATGAAATAGTAAGTGTTAAGTTTCAATGATTTGAGGATTCTGACTCATTTTGATTGCCATTTAAATTTTGTTATACCAACTCAATGGCCATTTTTTGAAGTATCCTCACTAACTTTTCTATTTTTGTAGTTATATATGGACAGCATGCCTTTATTTTATTTACTTATTTTTATGTGGTGCTAAGGGTAGAACCCAGTGCTTCACATGTGCTAGGCAAGTGGTCTACCACTAAGCTACAGCCCCAACCTCCTCACTAACTTTTAAAACAAATGGTTTGATGTTAGCACAAAGGGTGAAGTTGTCAAAACAAACTCAATATCCAAGACCATACTTTACTGATGATTTGAAAGATAAAGAGGAAGCATCCTTTTCCCGAAGGAACTGGAAACCTTCAGATCCTCCTCCTCTTCTCTCTTATTAGATGTATGGCCCAAGTTAACAGAGATATTTTGAGTCATATCTGTAGAAGTTTAAAAGCTCCTCCATTTTATATTTTGTTGGTTATATAAATAAAAAAAAACGCTGTTGATTACTACAGTTCTGTAAATTACCCTAATTCTGCCCTTGGGGTGTGTTACAGGCATGCTATTAATTTCTCCAGGATTTTAAGCAAATTATTGCTTAAATGTTTAAAAACATTGACTTTTAGAGCCACTGAAAAATAGTTACTTTATCTTGAATATTTTTTATTCTCATTACCTTTCATAACAATTACAACCTTACTGAAGGCTTGTAAAAGATTAATCTGTACTTACTGCCTCCATTTTTTTCAGGCTTCCAGTAAATCCTGGAGTCTCACTCCTATCCCTACTACATTATTGCTATGGAGAAATTCCTCTGTGTGTTACATTACCTACATATTACATTGTTCGTCAGTATGTTGTAGCAGTTTACATTAACCACGCTACCACTTGAATCTCTGCTTCCTTGAGTACCTCTTTTTCTTATGCCTGTCTCTTTTGTAGGTTTCTCTTCCTCCTCTATCCCATAATGATAGGTATTTTCCTACTTTCACCCTGTTTCCCCTTTTTATCCCACCTAAGCTGTCTCTTACATTGCATTTCTGTCAAAGTCTCTAATACCTATGAAGACAGCTCTCTATTGTGACTCACTAGGCCAGACCTTCCCTCCTGAGCACTGGGCCCAAGCTTCTAACTGGGTGACAGACACTGAGTTCATAAAAATGTCCAACACTACTAGATTATTTCCTTTTCAATTCCTTTACAACAAATGGCTTCCTTTTCTAAAATTTCTTCTCATTTTATGGCTTTGACATATAACTAACTGCATAGTCTGGAAGCATTGATATTTTTGCTTCAAATTCAGTAAATCAGTAAACCCTATGATTTCTTCAAAGTAGATCCTCACCTTCATTTTAGCCCTTCTCCAGTTCCCTTATCACTTCTGTCCTGACTAAATTTCTAATAAGCTCTAGTAATAATATTCATGTTTTAACTTTTATTCCCATTAAAATTTCTAAAACATTATTTTTTCTTTTTTCATCTTTTGTCTGCTAGAAAATTCTACTCATTCTTCAAAAATTCAGGGCAAGTTCATATCTTTTGCAAGAACTTTCTTAATCCACTCTCCACCCTTCCCTTCCTTTTGCCAGTCACAGTTTTTTTTTTTTTTATTTTCTGACTCCTACATAATTTTGTATACTTCAATTAATACACATTGTATTTCATTTGGTACTGTATTTGTTTCTTCCACTATGTGGTAAACCTTTTGAGGGCAGGGATCCTATCATGTTTGTGTTTTTCATGTCTAGTAAGAGCAATATTATTTTACTTAGTAAGAGTTTAAGTTGGGAAGTGGGGGACTTAGGCACTTTCTCTTTTCCAATCCCAAATTTGGATCTAATTGTGAGCTAGACCCAAGGCACTAGATAGATAGGGGATCTAATTATTACCATAAGTACAGTGAATAAGTTTGAAACCTGTGGCTTTAGGTCTATGAGCCTGCAAGTTACTAACCCCAGCACTAGCCATTTCAATGAACCACAAGATACTTCCGATACAAGGTCAGGCCTCATATCTCGTGGCTGCATTGCAGGTTTATTTGCTATTGTCTTTTGTAGGAATATAAATCAAGAAAGAGCTAAGTCACATGTGGCTGATTCTTTAATGTAAAGTCACCTATTATAAAAGCTACTCCTCCTTCCTTCTGGTGCAATGCAGAAAAGTGTTACTTATTTCCCTCAACATGCAAAGATGGGCTGAAGGGAAACAAAGTTCCCACCCGAAAATCAATTGTAAAATGAATTAAAATAAATATTATAAATCTCATTTCAAAGTATAGTATCTATATTAATTAAACTAAGTCAAAGTCAGTTTAACACAGTATTAAGAGAAATGTATTTGAAGGACTGATGTGTTAAATAGGAATACACAATAAAATACATGGGTGTGTAGTCAGTTATCTCATTTGCTTTCAATTTGTATAATACCTCATGAGTATTTTTGATTTGTGCTATTTATGGAATGAATGATCCCCATACAATTTTTCTTTTAGATGATGAAGCTGCTACATTTTAGATAATGAATGTACTGCTAAGAAAAATGCATCAATAAAGGATGTGTATATTTATGCAAGCATGGATTAGCACATTTAAATATGCATTCGCTGTAATGTTTATCAGGGCAAGGGTGGAAAGCCACAATATAACCATCATTTAATTGCTTACAGGGGCCCATGAGTTGTACTTCCTTTATATCTCATCAGTGAGTCTCCAACGTATATCATCACTGTTAATTTTTTACTTACAGGATCTCATTTCTTGCCTGGATTACCACAAAGCTTAAAGTCTTATTTATTGTCTATTTAAATGTTTTCAAATAATCATTCAACAAGTAGGTGTTCCTGTATTAATGAATTTAGAACACTTGACAAAGTACTAATAATTTACTAAAAAAAAGTAACTAACATAGATGGAGGATGGTTTGTAAAAGTAATCAGGAAAGGGTTGGTTTAGTTCAACATCATGATTAAAATTTCCAACATAAACTGCCATATATGAAAATAGAAACTGAACTTGAAGCTTTGTATATTTATCAATAACTAGAAAGGAGGAGAGAGAACGGCATAAAGGTACTACTTTTGGACTTTCTATGTGATAGAAAAAAGAGAAAGTTTCACACATTTTAAAAGCATATAAAATATACTAGTATATTTGAAATTCCCAACTATGTGATATTAAAACTTAAGTGATGTCTGTTCTTAGGACAAAAAAATTAGGTATAAATAGATCTTGCCCTCATCATATCCACTATATGAGGGGAAAAACAAAATATTTGTTATATGGTTTCTATATATCAGCATATTCAGAAGGACTTTGGGTATAGAGATATATGTATTATGCTAAATATTATTCAAAAATGACCTCTTAGTAGATTGCCTTCACAGTTTCACAGTTGCTTGTTTCTGAATGTTCACCTTCCTCCTCCATAGCTTTCACTGCATGTTTCATAACTATAGCTGTGGTTTTTGTTAGTTTTGTTTTTTTACTATCATGTTTAAATAAACACAGGACTGGAATTTTGCCTCAGGAAGGAAGGTTACTAATAATCCTGTTAAGTTAAAATTAGTACTTCACAGAAAAATACTAACTATTTTTATATTTTCAAATTATTTCAAAACACAGTTGAACATAACTTAGTATAGAAAGCACTGTAGTTTTAATTATTTTCCAATTTTCTTAAAAGCATTTTGCTTTATTTCATCCCTAAAATAAAGCCAGTAAATTGCAAAGAATCATTTTAAAGCATTCAGATTGAAATAATTTAAGTAATTAAAAATAATTAAATAATTCAAAATGAGTGCAGAATGTTTTAAATTTAACAAATACATAAAACATTTAAGAGTACATGTGGCATAATTTTCTCTTTTGCTCAAATTCTGTTTTTGAATGTTTCCACTTTCCTGAAGACTTCCTCAAAGCTCAGCTTGAATTATGCTGAATCTGTCCATCTAAGTATGATTAAGCAAAGGCTTCCAAGGGGCTTTTAGAATTGAGTACCTGCTGAGCTCAAATATCCTGGCTACAAGTTGACAGCCTTTGCTGCTTTTGTCCTATAGTTGAATAAATAAAGTAAGTCAAGGTATAATGACATAAAGATGACTTTTTCCTTTTTTAATATTTATTTTTTAGTTGTAGTTGGACACAATGCCTTCATTGTATTTATTTATTTTTATGTGGTGCTGAGGATCGAACCCAGGTCTTCACACATGCTAGGCGAGCACTCTACCACTGAGCCACAACCCCAGCCCTAAAGATGACTTTTTAAAAGAATCATAAGGACTAATCTCCTTTTGTTATTATAAAATCTTATATGTAAATGAGCCCCTTGTTGTATATGAAAAAGACAATATCTAGAGAAAGTATCCTAAAATAGTTCTTATCTAATACATTAAGAAAAAATAAATTTAAGCCTGGCTTGTTTTGACCTTAATTCCCTTTTTTTAGTTTTCAAGTAGATTTCCATAATTATGGTTATAAATCTCATGATACTTTGATAAAAGAATCAATGAAGTTTCAAACTTTTGTCTACCTGTTAGTCACAAAAAAAAATGTTGGTGTAAATATGGAAACAAAATACAACTGTTTAACCAATTGAAAGACATTTTTGCACATAAAGGTTAGCAGAATTTTTAAGCACAATGCTAATTTGCCATTTTTTGGGTCTGTATTCCATATTTTAATTTATCAGTGAGTAATTAGCTGCAGTTTGGTGCAAGAAATTTTGTTAAAACTTCTCTCAGAGTCTTCCCATGAATTATATTATATTATATATATATATATAATTATATTATATATCTCACATAAGTGAGATTCTTAACAATGCATCTTTTGAAACAATTATATTCATATTTATGTATGAATATAGATATGTATACACACAGGCACATTTTTATGAAACAAAATTACACTTGATGGGTTCTAAACATCTTCCCAAACGTGTTTTTCTATATTCACTTGTAAGATTACAGATTTTATTTCCTTATAATATTATAACTTATCTTTCTGAGCTTGTAAAAGTGAAAATTAAATTATAGAGCAAAGTATAAACACTTTGTCTTTTTGGGGTGTTATTCCAGTCCTGTTGTTCCATATGTTCTTTTATTTTAGGAGTTACTAAATGTCCTGTTTTTTCCTGTCTTGTTCACTGGGCAACCAGGGGTAGATGGTCCCCCTCCCTAGATAGGAGACGACCTCCTAGCCCCAGGATTCAAATCCAGCATGCATCTCCGGAGAATGACAGGTACTAGTCATGTCCTAACAGACAAGTGGCTACTTGAGTCTCCTAGGCCACCAAGTGAAGGATAACCAAGAAAAATGTTGGTTGTGACATATTTGCTTTCAGGAACCAGAGCTAGATATGTTGCGATTCTGTCAGTAATTGCACCCAGCTCTAATAAAGCACCTCAGAATATCTACTAAAATGAGAGTAGTATAGAATATGGTATCATTTAAACACAGTAAAGTTGGGATCCATTTGAAAGAGTTCTATCTTGATGAGCATTTATTGCAGCATATTTATTGAATATTGACTATTAAATATTGATGTATAATTGTATATTACTTTTGCTTTTATGTAAATAAATAAAAATTCTCAGATGCTTTATAGTATATTAGAATTTGTCACCCAGCCTATTCTTAGTTATATTGGTTGACAGTTTAATTTCAGTTTCCTTGATTTGTTACTGTATAAGCTTATTCAAGAAGTTTAGGCTTTGGGGTATATTAAAAAAGTCTGGTTTAAAGTAGGACACCCAGTTCTTTTAAGTTTTATGTATATAATGTTTTTAAACAAAATATTTTCAAGGACTAGGGTCAGTCTATCAGGTAGGTCTTTAAAAATAGCATCAGTGCTTTCAATCCACTTCAAGATAATCTTTAAGAGGTATCAAAATATGTACTTTTCAATTGCTTCATTTTTCTCAGTTTGCAGTTAACCCAATTTTCATATTTTATTGTGCTTGTTATGTATAGTTTTTACCTTTCAACATTTTTCCCAACTGGTCGCGCAAAGTGTCTGAGATACTTTTCTGCAGTAGAAATTCAGTCAACACATGGATAGTATTTATTTAGTATATAAATAGATATGGTATCTCTGAAACAGAACACCTAGCTAAATGACCACTAGTCATATGGGCATACAGGGTCTGTTAAGTGTTTGAATATATATAGTGGTGTAATTGTACCCTTAGTGAAAAGTTGTATAATTTATTTTCTGTATTTCTACACAATCAAGGTAATTTGTGGATTTCAATTTGATAGAAAAACTAAACACTGTCATTTAGCAAAATTTACTGTCATTTTACAAATGTTGGGAAAGACCAAAAATTGATATTTTATGAAGGTTTCAAAATATTTTAGCATTTTAAATTTGTAAGACATTTACCTGTTCATGTGATTTATATTTATATATTTGGAGTTTAAAATTAATTGCCTCTGCTACTATCTGGTTTAGAATTTTTGGGACTAGAAGAATTAGTAAAGTCTCCAATCTAAAATTTATTGTAAGTGTAAAGTCATTTAAATTAAATATAATGCAGTTGTATAAATTAGTTCTATATTGCTACTCATTCATTCAATAAATGCTTGTTATTTCTCCCTATTATGCACACTATATTAATAGCAGAGCAGTGATTAAGAAAGATAATATCCAGGTCAAAGATAAACTTAGAATTTCCCTCTAAAAAAGATAATTCTGGAAAATCCTTGAATTTATTTTAGAACAAATAAAGCAACAGTTTCATCTAATGTAATGAGCAAGTATAGGACAATTACATATGTTGGTCTTTGTAATGTATATAAATGTAATCTTATCTGGACATTGATTGAGAAAAATAGAAGCCAAATAATAGCTTCAGCTTTTACATATATAAGATATACATTAGCTTCTTTTATGGTACATGAATAAATTTTGTTGCTTTCCTAGATTGTGTGTGTATGTGTGTGTGCGTGTGTGTTGTAAGACTAAGAGGTGAACATTTTAGATAAGATTATTAAAGGGAACATAAAATGTAAAACTTAATACATTTTGCTGTTTTTTTGTTTTGTTTTGTTTTGTTTGTATCTGGGATTGAATCCAGCGGTGTTTAACCACTCAGACACATCCCCAGCCCTTTTTATGTTTTTATTTAGAGATAGAGCTGAGGACCTCACTAAATTGCTGAGGCCAGTTTTGAACTTGGAGTTCTCTGCCCTCAGCCTCCTGAGCCACTGGGATCACAGGTATACACCACCACACTAGGAACATTTTGCTGTTTTTTTATAATGACTTATTTGTAAATAATGCCTATTGTTCAATGAAAAGAAATATATTTGTGTGTGTGTGTTTGTGTGTGTGTGTGTGTGTGTGTGTGTGTGTGTAGTGCTAGGAATCAATTCCAGAGCCTCATGCATGCCAAGTGAGTGCTCTACAATTGGACTACATCCTCTGATATTTTTCAATTTTTATTTTGAGACAGGATCTCACTAAATTTAAGCCTGTGATCTTCTTCCCTCAGTCTTCTAAGTGTCTGGGATTACAGGTGTGCACCACCAAATCTGGCTAAGAAATGCATTTTAAATGACTTGATACCATGATTTATTACTGTAGAGAGTAGAAAATAGTTTAAAATAAAATTTTATTAAGTTAAAATGATACATTCCCATAAAAATGAGAAATCATAATCAACTAGTGCTAAATTCATAGGTAGCCATGCCAACCACATGATAAAGCTTAAGGAGCGCTTACTTGCATGTCACCTCCCAGAAGCATTTTTACTCATTCAGATCCTGCCAATTTTTAAATAAAATGAACACAGTGTCAGATTTTGATATGCTGAATATTTATAAGTAAAGTGGACATTACTTGAAATTTATCCTGGGAGACTTGGCAGCCAGGGAATTATATGTGCAGAATTTGAATGTTTTGTATCATGACCACATTTGAGTATTTTGAAAATAACATTCCAATATTAGACTCTTAACATATTAATTTTTACGTGAATTTTAATATCTTCAGAAAAGCTTTAGTTACCAATGTATTCAGGAAATTATTCTAACTTAAATTAGTTATTGAAGAGAAAAGGAAAGTAGCAACAGCTTTTAATAATTATCTCTTTGGTACATGTTAAAAATCTTCACAATTAAGTTTACATAAAGAGGGAATAATACTTCTAAATGGAGTTTCAAAAGAATTCAGTTTTAATTAGAAACATTTTCATTTTCTGATTATTACTCTTGCTTTAATTTAATCATAAATTTTACATTTACATTTTAATGTACTTTCATAGCTTTTAAATAAGTTCATCAGTAACCTATAAACTAGTAAGCATAAAACTAAAATCATATAGCTGTAAACATTTTGAATGAAAAAGGAAATAAAAATTCTGGTTCTTGTGTTTTTAAACCAAAGAAATATTATTTATGAATAATAAAGTATTGATAACAATAGAAGAAAAACATTTTTTTAAAGAACAGAGAAATTAAGGACATGAAGACATGAAGGCAGTGTCCTTACCAACATAATTAAGGCCTATATGACCTTGAATCAGTCACTTAAATGTTATGGGACTCAGTTTCCTTATCTGTAAATGTACCGAGGTGTAGATGGACCAACTGAATTCTAATGTTTAATATGATTCTAAAATTAAGACTATGCTGCCTTGTTGTATTATGATTAAAACATATATTGGAGCCTAAATAATGACTGAAAATTAGTATGAGTAAGACAATAAACCAGAGGTCATTCATTATTTGTGGTATTTTATATTTTCTTCAGCCCAGAGAATGATGCATAGCTTTATTTCTAAACTGATCAAATGGGGACTAGATTTCATATCCCTAGTTTATTTTATGCTAATTATAATTTTTAAATGTCAAATTCCATGATAATATACAAAATAAAACTTGTTAATATTTAAATTTAATATATACATAAAAACATAAAAATGCTACTTATTTGTGGGGTATCATGTGATATTTTAATACACGTATTTGTCATATATATATATATATATGTATGTATGTACATATATATATGCATATATAATAATATGTATATATTTACTGCATGTAATATATAAATCAGAGTTAACATTTATTTCCTCATTTTTCACTTTTTATGGTGAAAACACTCAAAATTCTCCTAGCTTTTTGAAATATCATTTTCTGTGGTCATATAACTGTACAATAGCACACCTTAACTTTTTTCTCTGTCTAGCTATAACTTGGTACCTGTTAATGAACCCTCCCCCCACACACACTCCCCAGCCTTCGACCCCACATTTGTTGAAACACTATGAACAGTAGCCAAGTAAAGGAAACAAGCTAAGTGTCCATAAAGTGATGAATGGATAAAGAAAATGTAGTATATATATACAATAGAGTACTATTCAGCCTTAAGAATGATACCCTGTCATTTGTGACAATAGTGTTTGAACCATTCATTCATCTTTCATTTGAACTACTATGTACTAAGTAGTTATGGTAATAACTCAAAGAGACCTGGTTCTGGACTACAAGAAACTTATGAGGAATAATATTAAGTGTAGGAGGGAGTTCATTCTACTCTGATACCTTGTGTGTTTACATGATCAGTCTTTTCACTTGTATAGTACATGAATATAATGGATTTTTCTGACCTTTACTATTATTTATAACTTCAGCCTTTATTTACTCCAAGGGATAGTTGTGTTTTAAATGTACAATATATTCATAGCTAGGATTTAGGATTTAGGGTAGAAAAGACATTAGAATTTCCTATTTTCTTCTTTGGTGTTGCTTGACACTCAATTCCTGCAATTATGTATCTATCATTTTAGTTCTATTTGAGGAATTCTTTTTAAGTGGTTAGAAGAATTATAAAGACATGTCCTTGGTACGAATATTTAGAAGAATCTTTAATGCAATGAAATTTTAATGGCATTTGAAGAATAAAAAGGAGTATCCTTAACTAGAAGATTAAAAATAAATGTAAAAAGGATACATGTATGAAGCCCTACTTATTAATGCTTATAGAATAATAAGTGTCTTTACATTCAAAACCAAATATATATTATAATAAAAAGCAATACTTTGAGCACTCTTAATCACTTGCTATTTTAAGGAATGCTGAAAATACTACAATGTCGATTCTGTGTCAAATTACAAAAATGACATATAATATAAATATTAGGCAATATTGGACTATTTAGAATTAGGAAACCTACCACTTTGCATGTGGAAAAACAGAGAGGATAAAAAGCCACCTAGCTGAGATTAAATCTAATCTGATCAGAGTCCATACTTTAGTCAGCATGTTACTATTTCATTTAAGCCAGAGATGCAATGTGATTACTTCTGTTGAGACTCTCAGTTCACCTCTGACTTGGCATTTAGTGACTATGTAAAAATAAATCATTTAACCTTTGCAAACCTCTATCTCATTATTCTTCCAAAGATAAAAGTGTTACCTGTCTCTTTGAGTTGGCAAGATTAGATGAGATAATGCAGGTAAAAAAAAAATCATAATCCATCTAGTATATGACTCCAATAAGTTTTAGGAGATGAGAAGAGGAAGAAGAGTCTGAAAATTTTACCAAGGAAGTGAAATTTCAATCCAATCTAGAAAATGAATAACATTTACCAGGCATAAGAAGAAATGCAGGCAGATTCTAAGACATGTGAATAGCCTTTTTACTGGGCAGAGGCAGATTCACTGTGTTCTGTCCAATCCCTCTCTTACCTCCCCCAGACTCTTCTCATCTAACTCATCTCCCTCAAATCCTGCTGTACTGGTTAATGTACTAGTCTCACATCTGCCTTAGCACCTGCCCTCTTGCTGTTGCTTTTGAGATTTTCTTTCCTTTAATATAAACCATAGCTAACTTCTTCATCTTCAGGTTTGCTAAAATGTCACTAACTCAGTGGTTCTTTCGTGGCCACTCTGCTTAAGGTTGCAAACTGTAGCTGCTCCCAGTCCCCCAGATCACATTTCTGATTCTCTGGGCCTGGTTTCTGTTTTTGCAGTTGTTATCATTTATTACCTTCTCCCACACTGTACAACAGAATTGTATGTGATTTTTTATTGTTGTTTATTTTTTATCTTCTACAAGTAAAAGGTAAATTGCTTGAAATCAGTGCTTTGTTCATAGACGTATTTCACACAAATAGAGTAGACCCTGGCCCATATACATACTCAACAAGCATTTTTTGCATTAACAAAAGATTGATTGAAAAATCCTTGATGATAATGACACCTGCTTTCCCTGTGCTGAAGATGAGAAAAGAAACATTTGTTCTCCCAGACAGTTGTCCTGGGCACTGTTGGAACCAAGCATAAATTACCCATAAAGACTATGCTGCCTTTTCTTTGAATTCAGATACTTCCTGGGCTACAGACTTACTCACTCTGCCTCTCATCCCCTTCTTCACAACTTTGTGCTGTGTCTATCCCTCCTTCCCTGTGCTTCAGGAACAAGCCTCCCTTGCCAGAAACCATAACAGGCATCCCCTGTTGATTTCAGCATGTACCATGCACTTCAGTTGTCACAAAGTCTCCTCTCCTGACCATACACCAGTAAAGTAAATTCCTTTTACATTTCCTTAATGTGAAAAGGAGAATTTTCTCTTTGTACTTTCCCAAACCTATACCATATTTCATGGGTTCTTTCCTTCTTGAAGGATGCAACCTTAGAAAATGCATCAGAATTTACCTTCTCCACACAATTTTGGATGGAACCAGATAGATATGTTCCCAGCTTTGCTACTTTATTATTGAGTGGCCTTGCCCTGTGCCAGTTGCTTCATCTGTGATAATGGAGAAAATGGAGATGACACCTTCTTAAAGGATTGTTTTGAAGGTTAAATGAGTTCATACTCCTTCAGTGCACCTGGCATACCATTATCTTTCATTATACCAAACCCACTCTTTTCCAACTAATAAGGGAATGTGGTGAGTGGGAGACAACTTTCTCCTCTATTTCGTTCCTTTTTTCAACTCAGAAATGAGATTTCAGAATGGTAGCAGGTGAAGAACACATAGCGGAAACCCTGAATTGTAAGAAAAAGATAGTGTGAAAGAGGAGTAGTCTCAATACTATACACACTGTGAAAACTGCCTTCATTCTTTGATTCATTTAGGATGTCTGACACTGATAAGCAAAGACAGATATTGGTCTCAACATTATTGGAAGGAAGGTGTATCAGGAAAGAAAATAAGTATAAATTGTAGTGATTCAATAAACAATGTAAAAATGTATATTATTATGTTTTGTCTGATTTTTTAAAGGCATAAGTTCTAGACTACAATATTTTGTATTACTTATTTCAAATATGTAGTTTTCTGTGGGTAACTGTGATATGATGGATATGTTAATTAATTCCAGTATAGTAACTATTTTACAAAATGTATTTAATTTATAAAATCATGCATACCTTAAATGTACATAATAAATTTTACATAGCTAGATTAGTTCAGACATTTTGGTCTAAATGGGCACATGTAAGTGCTTTAGGGATGTAGGATATATATATATATATATATATATATATATATATATATATACACACACACACACACACACACATATATGAAAAAACTTCAGATTCCAAATATTGAGTGTATATGTGTACTTTTAGAAAATATATTGGGGACTTTATTAATTCTTTGATTTGTAACATATGATTAACTTTTTAAAATGCAACAGTATTACCAAGAAATCCTTATGACAATTTTAAAAATGCTTTAAATAGTAGATTTAAATACTTTCACTTATGTCAAAATCTTACACCTTAGCATTTTCCTTCTCTTTTCTCTATAATTTTGAGGCAAAAAAGAAAAAAGAAAAGAGCAACTTTGTAGCAGCAAGTTTGAACCTTTAAGAAGTAGAGGGTACATCACCCCTCTTTGGTCTTTCAGCACCTAACCCACCACCATGGTCATATTTATCATCATTGTACTTCACCATTAAATCTGTTTATTCATCAAGGGGAGGCAGAGTTGCTAGCAGGGATCTGTGTTAGATCATTGCTGTAGACCTGTTTGTCTAGACTAATGAAACATCAGTATCTAGTGTCTCCTGTTGGCAACTCCTGTCTTCCATCCAGCACCAATTCTGATTTTTTTTAAATTTTTATTTATTTACTTTTTAATTTGAAAAGTATTGACTGACAAAACCATTTAGGTAAAATAGTTGTCATTTTCATGTCTATTGTTTTTATCATTGTATGATGTTGATGTAGCTTTATTCATCAGATATTTTGTATTTCTTTAACATTTCATTCCACAGGCACTCCAGAAAGTCTGAAAGATCTAGCATCCAAAAACAGACTAGGAAAGGCACTGTCTCTGATGCAGAAAGGTAGGCTCGGTGTTGTGCTGTGCTGCCGTCCTTCCTTCTTACACTCAGGGCATTCCTCTCTCATGTCACTTATGCAGTTCTTAAACACAGGTTGTGATGTTTAAAGAATTTCATGTAAATAATTTTTCCCCTTTGTGGGAATAGTCTCATTGAAGAAATAAAGGGTTATTTTGGAGGTTTAAAATAAAATCACATTCTTTTCATGGTCATTCTGATTACTAATGAGGATTAAACCCACATTCATTTTTATATACTATTGGGACTTTCTTGTTTCAGAGATTATATTAAATATTTCCACAAACATAATGCCTGGAATATGCAAATCTGTTAAATACGTGTTATGTATATGAATAAGGTCATCTTTGAAAAAGTCTCTTTTCTTCAAAAGGATAATATGTGACTCTTGTGTTTTGTAACCATAGACAAATGCTGATTTCATGCAAAAATTATAAGGAATTACTGACCTGTATACAATTCATCACATTCCACACATTTTTTTTTAGTTTTTTTAGGAACAATATTGCAGAAAACACTTATAAATCCCAAATAACACATTCATTTGTTCAGTTTAATAAAAATATGAAGTATTATAATATTATATAATAATAATATATGAATATGTTTAACGATAACATATTCAGTTTTTCATTTAATTCTCAAAAATTTTTCATTTAATTCTCAACAATTGTTGAGAGCAGGTGTAGGGACATAGATGTAGAAGAATGAATGCATTCAGACATCACAGCTGTTACTACAGAGGTATGCACAGGTAGTGTAAAAACAGATATGTAGGGTCAGAATGAAATTAAACTGTTTGATAAATAGATATCACTTGAACTAAGTCTAGATAGATAAAAGCAGATGTGAAAAGTAGACTGTTTCATGAGAGGGAACAATGTAAAAAAAATACTAAAACTTGAAATATCTTTTTGAGTTTATAGAAAATGTACCAGTTTTGGAATGGAGAACAGGATCCAGGGAGTTGAAAATGGATACTGAAAATAAAAACAGAGACATCCTGAGAGTTTAAATGAATGACAAGACTGCCTTGTTAATGGTGTACCAAAGAACCTCCACAACTTTATGAGCCATTGATGTGCTTTAAACACAGGAGGGTGGAGATTGATTTTAACTTACAAAATTATAGATCACCTTGGGAACATTTTGGAAGATGGATGGAAAGACCAAGGTTGGTTGCAGGGCACCAGCTAGGTTATCATAGCAGGCTTATTTGAGATAGAATCTGTACAGTTCAGTGATTCGTTCATTTAACAAGCATGTGCCAAGTTATGTGCTAAGTTCAAGAATCAATGTCCTAAGCAATAACAGCAACAACAGCAACAACAGAGAGAAAGAGAGAGAGAGAGAGAGAGAGAGAGAGAGAGAGAGAGAGGAAAAAGAAAAAGGAAATCTTCCTAAAGGATATAGAGGATATTGCCACTGAGTTAAGACCTGAAAAGTGAGAAGACATGGGACATGTCAGGTCATGAGTAAAGGAGATGAAGTCTACTCCTAGCAGTGGTACATGGAGAACTTAATTTACAGAGGAATAAGGATGCAGGGGACTCAAAGTCTTAAATTGGAAAAGGAATTGGACTTTGGGAAGAAAATGAAGCACAGAGTTCTGACAGTTACATAGACAGCCTGAAATTAAATAATACCAATTGCATTTCTGTTTTCACATTCTTTAATCTCAGCCCAGCTCTCTCAAATAGGTAACTCTAACCTTTTATACATGTAGGTTTGTTTGGTTATAATTAAATCTCTTAGTTGAATTTTAGTAGAACATTATGAATTACATAGGTAGCTTTAAGTGAATTATTGAATAATTAGGTACAGAAGAATTAATTTGGATTTTCTAGGTTACATTTGTTTTCATTTCTTCAGAAGACAACATAGTTTCCACCTAACTACAGGTGAAGTAAGGTCATAGTGCTTTTCACATTCACTTTTTTTTTCCCCTTGCTGTGCTGAAGATCAAACCCAGGGCCTCATGCATGCTAGGAAAGCTCTCTACCTCTTAGATACACTCTTCGCCTGGACAGTGAATCTTTCTACCTTTGGGAGTTAACAACTTACAAACATGAATCATACCACTCCATCATGCATTGATTTTTGGCAAAAATTACTGTGAAAATAACATGGCTTAAAGACCCTTTGTTGGCATCAGCAAACTGTCCCCATGAGGAATAGCTAATAAGAAAATATTTTGAAAAATATAATAGTCAGTTACAGATAGAAGACAGGCAGAACTGATTTCTGTCTTCTGTGCTTGGGAAGCTCTTTCATAAAAGTTTAGCTTTTCTCCTCCATGTAAATTCACCTCTGAGAACTGCTAGCATCCTTTCTACATTCTATTCTGGTGACTTTTCTTCTTTTGGAACCAACACTCTGCATCCTGACTGTGGATGGTTTGTTTGGACATCTACTTAGCCTTGCTTAAATGTATGCTTTATTTTGTGCTGTTGCTTTTGGAAAGTGCCTGTGCTGCTCTATAAGGGGCCATCATAGGAGGAGTTATTTTGATGACTTCAAATACCACATGTATGTGGTATACCATCCTTTAATAAGTCAGTAAAACAAACAAAAAAAGTAAAACTGGACTTTTTTATGTCAATAGAAGCAATTTCTGCAAGTCCTATTTTCAGCAGTAGAAATATCTGACTAAAGATTTAAAGTTTTGCTGAGAAATGTGTATAACTTAAGTCCAAGTCTTAGGTGAAGAACATAGGCATGGAACAAATTTTATAGTTAAGTATTTAGATATGCATTTAGAGATAGTAAGACAGAGTATGCAGTATACATGTTTATATATGGCAGAATGGGTTCTCGTTAGTTAGATGCCATTTTCCATTTGTTTCTATCCTACAAATATCAAAGCATAATTCTTTCAAGTCCTTCCAAGCAACTTTATATGTGGGCATATATTTTATGTTTTGTACTAAAAAATTGATAGCATATCCGAGATGTGAAATTACTGTTTTTCATTTTATGGTATAGAAACAAATACTATCTCAATAAGCAGAAAAGAGAGCAAATGTTGGAACACAACATACTTGTGTGGATCCTAACTCCAACACATTCTATCTCTGTCTTTTTGCAAGTCACTATGATCCTCAGTTTTTCATATGTACAATAGTAATAATTATAGTTCTCAGGGTGTAAGAATTTTAAAAAGTATGCATAGATAAGTATGTGTGTGTATACACACATAGCATGCACACACATTCAATGCCTGGCATGTACAGATGCCCTGCACTGATGATCAGTAAATTTCTTACCATTTTGCTTATCCATCATTCCCTCCCTTCCATGTTCACTGACATGGTTGTTCTAAACCTCTGTCATTCTTTTTGCATCCTCAAGTTCTTATCACACCTCATTTCATTGAAAAGATCAATGCATTACAGCCTGGATTCTCCAAGCTTTTCACTCAAATACTTTGGAATTTCTTGATTAATTTTCCTAAAACAAATCATACTTGTATCCATTATCTCTCCTCTCCAAAATCCTACTCATCTCTCTTCAAGTTCTGCATTTCCTCTCTCCAGTTTCCCTTCCTATAATTCAGCTTGCTGCCACATCCCCTCTCTTCCTCAAGCAAAGTAGCTTTCTATGTATTCTTTGTTCTGTACTCTCCTGCTTGTCCACACTGGCTAATGTCAGGAACTGCTTCATTATTGAGGGGCTTTTATTTCATGTGAAAGATAAACCAATCTTACTAAATGATTAATCTCAAATATTATAGGCTATTTTCAGGCTCTGCGAGCCTCCATGTGGCTCAACAAATGATGCATTAAGTCACCTATTCTGGAACTGTATAATATTCAACCAGGAAATTTATTTTCACCTGAAGTTGCTTTTTGTATCATTGCTATTTAGTTTGGTTGCACATCTAAATTATTCACATCTCATGTCACACTCAAGTTGTTCTTTGGTACTTATAAATTGCATAAAGGAAGAGCACAAGATTTTATTGAAATTGTAATAACCATGGAATTTCTCAGTACTTGGGTGAAAAATGTATGATTGAATTTTAGACCACATTCAGTATGTTTAGTTTGAATAGGATTGTTAAAATTTCTAATCATGATGGCTTCTAAAGGAAAAAATAGATAAAATTCACTCAGTGTCATTTAAAAGAACTTTGTCATGTAATCCTTCCCTTATCAAATTTATACATTTGAATAATGTGAAAGTCAATTCAGAATGAATGATTTAATATTAAGTATTAATACTAATATTTTAATAAAATGGAATATTGTCAGTTCCTTTTTTATCTTCATTTGGAAATGGAGGTAATAATCCATGTTTCAGGATATAAAATAGGATCTGATAAAACATTAATCTATAACTCAAGAAGATGAAAGACCTAAGCTGTACCTTTTTGTTCTCTTCATACTGATATTTGCCATTTTATTGTTCTAAAATGGAAGAGATAGCCTGAATAAAAATTACTGTAACTATGAAAATTATTTTACTTAAAAAAAGATTATCAATATAAATACAGATTGAATAAAGTACTCATTAATATACTTTGGTAGCCAATATGTATTCTTTATTCTTATCCACTTCAAGTTACTTAGTACGTCAATTTTATAGCATTGCTTTAAAAGAATGAGATGTTGGGGCTGGGGATGTGGCTCAAGTGGTAGCACGCTCGCCTGGCATGCGTGTGGCCCGAGTTTGATCCTCAGCACCACATACAAACAAAGATGTTGTGCCCGCCGAGAACTAAAAAATAAATATTAAAAAAAATTCTCTCTCTCTCTCTCTCTCTCTCTCTCTCTCTCTCTCTCTCTCTCTCTCTCTCTCTCTCTTAAAAAAAAAAAAAAGAATGAGATGTTGGTCAGATGCAGTGGCACACACCTGTAATCCCAGAAGCTCTGGAGGCTGAGGCAGGAGGATTGCAAATTCAAAGAGTGCCTCAGCAATGTTGAGGTGCTAACCAACTCAGTGAGACCTTGTCTCTAAATAAAATACAAAATAGGGGGATGTAGCTTAGTGGTCAAGTACCCCTGAGTTTAATCCCCAATCCCCCCCCAAAAAATGAGATGTTATTTAATTTCTTCTGGCATAATAGGTATTTTAATTATGAATTTTATTTAAAGTGTACTGAAAATTATGAAAAAGGCAAAAGTATTTGTTTTAAATATATTTTAAACATAAGTTTTTTTTATTCTTAATCCTTAATTCAGAAATTGGTTCCATAAAAATTTGGAACACCATTTGGAGATAGTTGTCAATATGTTGACAGATATCTTTTTAGATACTGTTATATCCAAAAACATGTTTTTCTCACATGTCAACCACTGGCACTTAATTATATGAATTAATGAGACATTCTGCATTTTTAATATTAGTCTATTTTTAATCTCCTTAGATTAATCTCAGAAGACATCCTCCTTTTGCTGTTTGCCATGAACTTGCTTATTGTAAAGAAACATTATGAACCTTGTAAAAATATACAAAGATTTCTACCATGCACTATTTCTTCTTGAAGGCATGTACTTGAAGTATCCCCATGTTCATCATTCAATTATTCTGACTCATTCAATTAACATATCTGTGTTGAGCTCTTGCTTTCCATGCAGCTATGTTTTAGCACTGGAGATAGAGCTCAGAAAAAGATGAGAGACAGAACTCTGTGTCCCTGTGGAACTTATAGGAGGTTCATTATATCAGAGCAACCTAGACTTACCCTTTAAAAACTATATGACATTCACATTTGCAATAATAACTTGTCAGTTTGATTTGAATTTCATTTCAGTAATTGTGTGACTGGTTTTCTTCTGGTTCTTTAAAAAATCACTGTCTTATAAGAGTAACCAGGTTTTCCTTGCACAGATGTGTTGGTATAAAATTAATGTGAACCTGCTGACTGAAGATCTTTTTTGGCCCTAATGTTTTAGGGTTCTCCCACCATGTCTTTCTAGAAGGGGACACGCAGCCCCAAGAGCGACTGATCAACCAGTCATTAGGGGAAAACATCCCGCTCGCTCAAGGTCGAGTGAGCACTCTAGTGTCAGAACACTGTGTTCTATGCACCACCTTGCCCCTGGAGGGTCGGCGCCACCTTCTCCACTTCTGACAAGGTTGCTATTCAGTGTCAGCCCAGCATTCATGTCCTGCCTCCGGGTGTTGGTGTGGTGTTGTATCTTCCTGAGCACTCGAAGCTTTCACTCATTATGACTCCATAAGTTTTAATTCTTTTTCTGTGGCACTTAAACCTCTCCACATCCTCTACTACTTGCATCTATCTTTAATTCTGCCAATTAGCTATCATTGAAACTTAAATTGACTGTGTTATGTCCTTTCATCTGTTTGTGGCATATTCATATACAATTTATTAATTATGTGAAATTCTGTATGATAAATTATTTGGAATTAAATATGTATTTGCTTTTTAAAAGTGTAAGAGGAATTAAAAAAAAATAACCTTCCATGTGTTCAGTGTAGTCTTAGAGCATCTTAAAGTTCTTCAGTTAAACAAAAAGTTTGAATGCCAACAGATGGAGGTCAGCTTATTCCTGGACAGTAGTAATGTATCTGCATGCTTCTCAAATTCTCATTTGTAATTTTAGTCCTTGTGTCAGTATATTTCATAGCATGTGTCCAGGGTTATTTTAAATACTTTTCAAGGTTTTTCCTACTTAAAGTACAAGTGAGTGGTAATTTGTAGAAGTATCTCCAACTAGAATTTATGTATGTCAGTTTTAAGTAATTCTAATATCAATTTAATAGGAGCACTTTAGCCAACAGCCTCTCATAAGTTATTTTTCTATATTTTAAGATCTAAAGGCTGTAATTAGATATGTTTGTTTCAGCACTACCAAACAGGAATAACTTGCCCAGAAAGCACAACTTCATGGAAAGTTAAAAAGAAGTGAATGGATTCAGCTCCATTCAGGAATTCATTATGCAAAGCTGTGTGTAGAAGACATTGATCTGTTCTTTTGAGCTCCTTTTGTATTATTCCTTTTACACATAGCATTAAAAAGAACTTGATTTTGCTTCCAATGACCCAGTTAGAGGTTTTATATCTGTTTTAATAGTAACACGAAGAAGGGAAAGATTTTTTGTCTGACTGTATTGGGATTTCATCCCTCCCTCTGTTTTATGCCTGCAGAATGCATCGACAAGGAAGTCCAACCCAGTCTCCTCCAGCAGACACATCCTTCAGCAGTCGCAGGGGAAGACAGCTCCCTCAGGTGCCAGTGAGAAGCGGCAGTATAGAACAAGGTATCCTATATGGAGAGATCCTTGTCCAAAAATCTTGGATTTGAGAACCTCCTCTTTTTATAATCCTTTTATTAAATGAATAATATTTTGGGATAATATGTAGTTTGCTGAATCCTAAGAAGTTAAATTTCTTAGAATTTTTATCCCCAGTACCCTAGTGGTTCCTGGCATATACTTAGTTTTGTTGACCGAGTAAACCAACAAGTTTTAGCTGGTCACTTATCAGAATGGAGGCCTGCAAACATGGTTTTACAAAGGTAAAAAGATAGAAGATAAAATTAGGAGAACCCTAGTGTGATATGGTATTTTACATGTTAAAAGAGGATTTGCCTTAACCTATTTTTAAAACATATTTTAAAAATTAAAGTCATTTTGAATGCCTTACTAGTGTTTTTTTTTTTTTTTATTTTACCTTGATTAACAGCATCTTGTATTTTTATATAAGTTTAAAGATGGAAAGCTGTCTTAGAGCACTTATTTTAGAGATTCTCTCACTTTGAGCATGTATACATTATTTTCCTAACGGGAGGAGCGAGTGCACATGTGTGTGCATGTGAATGTGTGTGTGATTTGATAGCAGAAACTAAATTTTAAACTACATGAGCCAGATGATTTAAATAGTGGGTTAAAAGAATCAGTATTTATTGTATGCCCATTTCTCAGTAAGTGACAAGATTTATCAGTGTTCATTATCACATATTTCTTATCAAGTATTTAAAAATTATTGAAATAACTTTTATTGAGTGGTAGTGTAAATGCAGTGAACTGATATTTGAACATGCATTGAGAATCTTCCTCTCTGTGAAACAACTGAAAGGTTAACATTTTGAATATTTTTTTTCAACAGTGTTGATTGTTGCTGATGTAAAACTTGCATTTCACTCCATATTGAGTGTGCTGGATACATTTCTCTCATTACTCGAAGTGCTTTACTGAATGTGTCACAGAAATGTTAAAGATCTGTGAAGATAAATACTTTGTCTCAAAGACTGATGTGGCATAGTTTGCCATGCAGAATAGTTGATTATAGAAATATAGTGTTGATTTTAAGAGGTATCAACTTATTAATAGAGTAATGCTGGTACAATAAACTCTGAATTTGTATTTTTTAAAATCATAGTTCCTGTTGATATATCATGCTTTAGGTTTTAGGATTGTTTTAAAGGCATCAATTAATCTGGAAAATATGATACTTTGTGAAATCTGACTTTCTTTTCTAAAATGGCAGTTACTTTATTTAAATTATGAATTTACATGTTTAACAAACTTTTTTGTCTCTTTTCTGGGAACATTTTGAGAGAATTATCTATAATGAATGTTATTAAAACTAACCCAGATGAAATTACTTAACTTTTTAACAAATAAAAACTGGTGTTTATGTAAATTATTCTTCTTGAACTCCTGTTGCACAACTGAAAGACTACAGATTTTGGTGTTTGGCTACAGACTTCTTGTTACTGGTTATATTGATACTGAAAAAGTCATGTGCTCCTAAAATTCTTTGCATTTCCTCCAGTTACAAGTAAAACACTCTACAGGTTCATAAGCATATAATGGTACTGCATATAATTCTCAATGGCAAGATTGTAGTTGTGTTACTTCCATAGAAATAAGAATTGCTTCTGCAAAATCGGTTGGATTGTATGTTGGATTTTTTTTATTTTTAAAAGTTCATGTTTTGTTAAAATCAGGGTTACTCTTTATGATATTTATATTCACAGTTGTCTTTCAGAGAAATCATCAATATTTAAGAATTGAGTTGAGGTTGGAAGAAGGGAATGATTGAGTGACAATTACGGATTTTTTTGTTTGTTTTTTGCTGTTTAATATCACAAATACACTAGTGAACACTTTTGGTCATTTGAGGTTCTTGAAATAAAAGATCTAAAAGTCATATAGATACAGTTTTTGTAAAATGTAAAAAGAAGTATGTATTATATATAAGTGTTCTTTTCTACAAACAAAATATTTATGGTGTACTTTATGATGTTAATATATGTATTTGGGACTTTTGGTAAATAATACTATACTGTCTGCCATCATATTATTATGGATTTATTTCAAACTGAACAGCTCATATGATAGCTATATTTGTCCTAAAATATATTTTCAAAGGTAAATTTTTAATTTGATTAATGACCTAGGTAAGATTTTAGCACATGCTATTTAAGATTGATTGCAATATTGTTCTTGAGGCTATAGGATTATTGTTATTTTTTTATTTTTCTATTATTTGTTTAATTTAGTTTTATCTTATGTGAAGATTGATATCAACTGCAGTTTATTTGTAATTGATTAATTTTCTCCTGCATTTGAATGACTTCTTGTCTCTTTAATTTTTTTTTTTTTTCATTTTTAACGAAGAGTGGTTTTCTGATTTCGTTTTTTGTTTGTTTGTTTCTTTCTTTCTTTTACTGGAGTTGATTAAAAGCTGATTGTTAAGACCCAATATTTCAAATGGTTTATATTCTTGGATAGCTATACAACTTTGTTGATGCACTTCTAAAATAACCTTTTTTCATGTTGTTTCTGTATACTGTTATATATATCATTGTTTCTAGTATGTATGCCAGGACAATTTGAATGACTTGATATGTTTTTTCTTATAAATAAGATTTACTTTACACTCCTTGTACCCTAAAATCAGTATCTCTTATTTTAAAAGGCCAACATAACATTGGAACAGATTGCTTAATTTTTAAATAAAAGCATTTTTAAAGTGTCTTTTAAAAATGGGGCAGTGGAGGTGGGCATGGTGGCGCATGCCTGCAATCCCAGTGGCTCAGGAGGCTGAGACAGAAGGATCTCAGGTTCAAAGCCAGCCTCAGCAACAGCAAGGTGCTAAGCAATGAGACCTTGTCTCTAAATAAAATACAAAATAGGGCTGGGGATTGGCTCAGTGTTGAGTACCCCTGAGTTCAATCCGTAGTTCTTCCCACCCCCAAAATGGGGAATGTTAGCCTACTTGCTACATGAAATGTGACTGTTACAATAGATTTGGGTAAATAGCAAAGAGATGATTACAGTACATATTTTGAGATAAAGATAAAGAAAATGTAGGTTGTAATATAGAAACTCTACTAGTATGTGAAAATACAGTGGGAAGACTTCAATAAAATTTCCTCAATTGTATTTCAACATTGTATTCTAATGTACTGAGAATACAATGTATTCTTATGTAAAGGGACTAATGCCAACATAATCAGTTATATAAAAATATGTAGTTTTCTAGCTGGTTTTGGTGGTGCACACCAGTACTCCCAACTGTTCAGGAGGCTGTGAGGCAGGAGGATCCTTTGAGCCCAACAATATGAGGCCAGCCTGGGCAACATAGAAAGACCTTGTCTCCAGGAGGAGAAAAAAAAATGTATGGATTTCTAAACCCAATCAAGTGATTTTTTTTGCGTGTATGTTTGCTCAAATGGATGTCTTTAAAGAAGTATTTAAAGATCATTCATAAATTAAGAGTGGTGTGCCAATTGTTTTATGTTTCATTATTACATCTGCTACCTGAAACTCTTATGATATTTCCTTTTATAAATATCTATATAGGACAGTAAATAGTGTACTGACAGGGAGATAACTTAGATATTATGAAATATCTGACATTAGTTTCTAAAATCCAAGTAATTTCACTTTGGGATATTTATATATAATTAATTTGAGAAAGAAGAAGGAATTACTTAAATTAGAATATATTTTTCCACGTAGAAAATGTTACAGAATAGATTCCATAGTACAGATAAAAAGCATACTTTAGTATAACTAAGAGTTTATCATATGCAATTTCAAATCATATGAATTTTTATCATTTTTTGATATAATTCTTATGAATATTAACTATGCTTTTAAATACATTTACATTAAAAGTTAAAAGTATTTTAGTAATATTGGTGCTAACATGCAATACTTTAAAGGCAAGAAAAATACTGTTGCATATACTTTTCAAGTTATTGATACATACTTTTCATGAAAGCATATTAATATCCCAATTTTTTGTTTCATTTAAAATCTTTAAATTGCTGTATTCATTCTTCCTTTGATTGATTTTAGTACCATATTTGAGGTTTCCTCATGGTTTATCATTGCAATTGATCATGTCACATTATTTGTTATGCATTTTTATTATTCATGCCATTGTTTAATTCACATTTCCATGTCTAACTATAAATTTGCTGATTTCTTTCTTTTGTTTCCATCATTATGTGCATTTAATTCATTGAAGAACAAGAAAAATATAACTCTTCCACAAAAGGTAAATATTAATGTAACTTTTTAAACATTTAATATTTTTACTTTTCTTTTATAATATACCAGAGTTATATAACTGTATTTATGGAAATAATGAGAAAATTATTTAGTTATTTCCCTGAAATGATTTTATAGGGTACTTGGTATTCTTTTATATTATGTGCTGTTCACATCAAAGAGAAAAACATTACTTTAAGAACAGTTTTATCTACATTGACAACTAGAAAACAATTCTCTTTAGAAAAGAATAATATATGATATTATATATATTGATATTATGTAACCACATAATAAATTTTTTTATTTGCTTATGTTTGTTTGTTTGCATTCCCCTCTTCTCATAGACAAAGTATTTAATTCTTACCTTCTCCTCAGATAGTATCTGTTGTGAAGGAGCAGCAAATCCCTGGATTTTACGTTCCAGGTAGCAGGAATCTTAGTATTCTAACCCCACTTCAGTCCTGCCTTGAGAAAGCTGCTACCTAGGTAGGAAATATCATTATGATACTCATTGATTCCTTCTTTCTGAGAGATGGAGGAAAGAAAACCCATTTAGCCTGCTATATTAATATATCACTGACCTCTTTATTGTCTTTTGAATCACATTTTATGTTTGGTATTTGTACTTGAGTTTCAAAACCAACCGGTTGCAGGCCTCACCCACACTTAATGCACAGCCCAAACCATGTCCTGCTCAGTATTATGGTTGGCGTGAAAATATAATATTCAAATATGAGTTTTTAACTTAATGTAATAATGTTATAGTAATGCCTAAAATTATATAATGCTGCATAGTTTAATAAAGGTACTTTTATTCAGTATTTGAAAGGGGATTGATTTAATTTGTTGTCCATAGTAATCCTCAGAGCTGGTGCTGATAATAGCATCATCTCTGTTTTGTGAATGAGGAAACTGAATTTCAGAGTGATTAAACAATTTTCCCATTCACACTACTGATCAGTAGTAGAATACATAGGTGATGTTTTATTTTGACCTCCTTCCATTTCACATGGATATATACAGTTTTAATAAGCACAAATCCCAAATATATTATCTCTAACTCAGTGAATCTGGGACTGTGTTATGTGTCTCACAATTATAAAGGGAAAATTGCAAATAATATTCAATTACTTATTTTAGTTTGAATTCATTAAAATATAATTATATCCATTTCAGACACATAATACATGTATGTATTCTGGCATAAAGTGTAACATACTAGACAATAGATATTAATAAAAATAAAATAAATAGATATTAATAAAAATAAAATATTATTCAATGAGATCAAGATGTTTTAATACCTAAATGGCATAGATTTATGGCTAACATCTTAAATTTTTAGTTGAAGTGTCAGTAAGAACTTCATATTTAGTAATACAAAAGTGGGCAATGTATTTCTTCTTAGATTCAGAAGTTAGATTTCAAAGATAAATTTTAGTATAATAAGAGACTTAGAATTTTATAATGTAAATAGGTCACAAACTAATTTATTTATCCAAAAGAAAGAAAAAGGCTATAATTATTTATTCAGGGCTTTTTCTTTATTATTAGCCCAAAGCTATAATTAACTAGTCAAAACAAAAATCCATAAGTGATATGAAATTTGCATGAAATGTACATATTTATGACCTTGCTATAGAGCATGGTAAATTGTTAGCTCTTTGTATTTATAAATAAGGTAAGTATATCCTGTGTGAGAGGAGCTGTCACCCTGCCAAGTCTTCCTTGGAGAGAGGATGTAGCAGTGCCTCATAGAACAGACCATATAGCTGGAAGCAACATACAGGGGCACATCCCAAATGCATATAGCAAGATAGAGAGCTGCAGAGAAGGCTGTACTTTCCCTCGGAGATTTAAGGCTGCACTGTTCAGTCACCAAAAATGACTTTTAAAGCCCAGAAAGGATAGGAGAAAGTTCAAAAAAAAAATCTTCACAATCATATTTTAGGCTCAGATATCTAAAGAATGAGAAGGTTCACAATATAGAAATCCCACTGCCCTGAGCTGTGTCCCTCTTTTCTGACACTATCATTTGGAAAATTCAGATTATTGTGAGTCCTTGCTCCCTCAATAAATGAGACTGGGACATACCATTCCTAGCTGACTGTGCGGGCCAAGAATTTCAATAGTTTGGTTTGTTTTTGATGATATATAGATGAACTTGTCAGACAACCAGTGGCTCCAGTTTGTCAGTGATAGAAAGGTTTCCTGAGATGCAGGATAATATCAGGCAAACTGGATACCCTGACCACAGGGGAACAATTTATTAATTTTCCAGCATATATTTGTAAGGTCACATAAAGAGAAGTATAAAATGCCATTAACATTATCAATATAGTATTCATTATTATATTAATAGATAGTATTGAGTATGTCTTATAAGTTGATGTCTTAGCTAAGAATATTATATATTTTTCTATTATATTTTCTCAGGAACCTGAGACATAACAATTAATATCAACATTTTCTAACTAAGAAATAAGGCTTCTAAAGATTGAAAACTTGGCCCATTATCGGTCATTCTTTTGGTAGGTGGTAGGACAGGGAACTAGAAATAAGCCTCCCTCCAAAGGCTTCCTTTTTAACCACTTTGCTTTAGAGGCTCTCCATCATTCAGACGGAATTTAATGAGTACTTACTGTGCATGCAACACAATGTAATTATAGGAACACATGTTTTACAGAAATAGAGTCAAAGGGGTTTAGTAGATTGCCTAGGGTAATAAAGCATCTATTTGGAAGAACCAGATTTTGATGCCACAGCCTATATTCTGTCCCCTGTACCATGTTGCTGTAGCATCCACCTCTCAGAGCACCAGGATTTTGGAGAAGGCCACTTAATCCTTACCTTTCCCTGATGACCCAGTTTTTCACCACTCAACACAATCTATACCTGAAGTGCCCTTAAATTGCCATGTAGCTTGAGAAACAAATCCAATGTATTTGAATACACAGTACATCCTTGGACTTGATGAGTTAACTGAGGACCAGTCAACATTCATACAACTTCATTTACTTTTAACTTCTTTTATGTTGAAAATTGAGAGACCATATCATTTTAGGCTTCACAGACTGCTTTTAGGCCTATTTTAAATTATGCATTCTAAAAGTAAGCCAATTTTTCCATCTCTGCTACATTTCTTGGACAGTTTTAAAGAGCCCATGAATGTAGTTTGGGGGCATCGAAATAATGATATAAGAAGATCAAAACTGAACCAGAAATTAAATGACTTCAAGGTGAGAAAAAATGTTATTATCATAATGAATTTCTAATTTATATGACTTAGATACTATTTCTTAAGTTCATTAACTTTTTGGCTTTTGGAGGCAATTTCAAAATCTAACAAAACATATTTAATTATCTTTTCTACAAATGTGAATTTCCTTTATTATAAAATATGTGTAATATGAATATTGAGAGTCAGTTAGACTTTAAATTATTTTAACAGGACAAATAGTAAGTAGCATTTTGTTGCTTTTTGTTTTCTTTTTCACAAATAAAATATGTAATTGTAATCAGATCATAGGGGCTATTTAAGGATTGTCTCTAGTTAATTCTATTTTTAAGTACCAGCTTTCTATAATAGAAGCTCAAATAAATAACATGTACTTTTCCACTTTAAATGTTAACCAAAACAGTTGGAGTCTATCTTGTGGAAATAAATTATCAGACTATGATCATTGACTTAATTAGATGCATTTTACATTAAAAAGTGAAAAACATGAATTTTATTAATTTTATGTTACATTAGTTATTGTATAAATGAATTTGAACATTTATTTATTTTAATAGTGTACTGTGATGGTGAAACATATAAGAACATATTATATGCTTGACTTTCGCTTAAATAAGTAAACTAATTTGTGTGCTTTTAGCATCAGTATTGTCTAATTATCTTCAAGTAGTACCAAAGTGTTTCAATTTAAATTACATTTTATTATTATTTAGTAGTAGCATATTGGACCAGGGGAATCATTTCTTTTTATTTTAAGTTAAGTCTTCCAATGTTTAGGATATAGCTTTGTGGTAGAGTGCTTATGTAGCATGCATGAGTTTCTGGATTACATTTACAGCATAAAACAAAACTAAACAAAAAACTGTTTCAAGGTTCAAGTTTTTTATTCTTCCAAAACATTGCTTTTCTTGAACAGTGAATATGAATATTTTTGAAAAAATATTCAGAGCTCTACTGTTCAGAAATTTATTAGTAAAAGACTGTCCCTTTCTGTTTTTTGTTTTGTTTTGTTTTGTTTGCCACAAACCCACAAATACAGATGCAGAAATCATTCTAGCCTTCTCTTTAAGCATTGAGGCTCTTGTGTGCAACAGCCCATGTTAGAAATTATGGTTTTGATCTTATTTTCCCATTCTGCCAATTGAAACATGTCATAGTCTTTAAAGCTAGTATCATAGTATCATAGTCTTTAAAGCTTCCAGGATTTAGCATGTGACCAATGACCCTCAACTTACAAGATATGCCCCAAGAGGGATTACATGACTTTCCCTTTCTTCCTGAGCTTTGTAGAGAAAGTGCAGAAGAAACTAAATGGCAAGCAGGCAATCATTAGATGGGTAGGCTCTTTGATGTATTTTCTCTGAAATCACATGTGTCCCCTAATTAATTTAAAATATGGGAAGAGATTGTCAAAAGTCAAAGTTGAATATAGCAAAGTTATGCCAAATGAAAATTTTCAAGATAGATCCTGTTGTCATTAATGTTAATGAAATAATAAAAAGTGATGGATAAACATGGCAGAGATCCCTTGGGTGAAAGGTGACTTCCTCAGTGTTCCCCCAGGGAAGCCTAATTACACAGGACACTCTTTGTCAAAATTATATTAGGACTGCCTCTTAAGGAAAACAGTGCTCCTTCTCAAAACCTAAATGTGTTTTGAAGAACTATTTAACCCAGAATAGCACAACAGGTCAGATAAATGCCAGTTTCATTTTATTTTTTGTTTTTTTAAATCTACAGAGGACTAGAGTTTTAGGTATTACTCT